CATATTTTCAAACTACCTTTTTCGCATGTGTTATCTAAGTTGAAAATTATTATGCATGTGTTTGACCTTCCCAATGTCTAATTTGCAGGCTTATCAGAGCTTAGTTTCGATCCAAGACCAGAAATCCGGAAAAGTGCACTACAGATTCTGTTTGATACCTTACGCAACCACGGCCACTTGTTTTCTCTACCACTATGGGAAAAAGTATTCGAATCTGTGTTATTTCCTATATTTGACTACGTACGGCATTCTATTGATCCATCTGGCGAAGAGGAGTCTGCAGATCAAGGAAGTTATGGTGATGTGGACGAGCTAGACCATGATGCTTGGCTATATGAGACCTGCACATTAGCACTACAGCTTGTAGTGGATCTCTTTGTCAAATTCTACACTACAGTGAATCCACTTCTAAAGAAAGTACTGATGCTTCTAGTGAGCTTCATAAAGAGACCTCATCAGAGCCTTGCAGGGATAGGTATCGCTGCGTTTGTTCGTCTTATGAGCGATGCTGGTGGCTTGTTTTCTGAAGAAAAATGGTTAGAAGTAGTGTCGTCTTTAAAAGAATCGGCGAAGACGACTTGCCCAGATTTTTCTTATTTCCTCAGCGAAGAATATGTGGAGAGAAGCCAGAGAAATGCCCACAGCATTCAGAACAGTAACGCGGAGTCTGTTGCTCCAACTGGCTCGGATAGTAATGAAGAGAGTCAGAGAACAGCAATCCGTCTCTACGCCGCTATCTCTGATGCTAAGTGCCGAGCCGCTGTTCAGCTTTTGTTGATTCAGGTCAGTTCCTCTTCAGGCCTTTGCGTTTTCTTTATATATGTTTACATGTTGTAGTTGTACTGCATGTTCCTTGAAATGAAGAGGAATTATCATTATTGTAATCGTTTTGTTGTTGTTGTTGTAATGTTTCTTTCTTCAGGCTGTGATGGAGATTTACAACATGTACAGTCCTCAGCTTTCGGCGAAAAACACATTAGTGCTCTTTGATGCATTGCACGGTGTAGCGTTACATGCACACAGCATAAACAGCAACTCGATACTCCGCTCAAGGCTACAAGAGCTCGGACCCATGACACAGATGCAAGATCCTCCACTACTTCGTCTCGAAAACGAGTCTTACCAAATCTGCCTCACATTCTTACAGGATCTCGTTACAGGCAAAAACAAAGAAGCAGGAGAAGAAGAAGAAGAAGAGGAAGTAGAATCACTTCTAGTTAAAATCTGCCAAGAAGTTCTCAGCTTCTACATCGAGACTTCTTCTTCATCTGCGAAAAAACAACAGTCGGGATCATCACGAGCCAGCGAGTACCGATGGAGGATACCTCTGGGATCAGGAAAACGAAGGGAGCTAGCAGCAAGAGCTCCTCTTATAGTTGCAACACTTCAAGCGATATGTACATTGGAAGAGGCATCATTTGAGAAGAACCTGAAATGTCTGTTTCCACTTCTGGCTAGCTTGATTAGCTGCGAACACGGCTCTAGTGAGGTTCAGATTGCTCTTGCTGACATGCTCGGCTTATCGGTTGGCCCGGTTTTACTCCAATGGTGCTGATTTTTGCTTCTTCCTTCTTCTTCGGCTTTCAATGTTCTATTTGGGCTTCTGATGTTAATGCTTGCGTCTATAGAGTTCTCTCTCACTCCTTTTTTTCATTGGTTCAATACAAAACTTGTTTAATGGACTTGATGGGCTTAAATTCTCGTAGGCCCAATATCTTGTAGGATTTATGTAGGCTTTTAGGGATACGACGCCGCGTTTGTCCTTATGCAGAGTGATTTTTTTCTTGCGTAACTCGATTCTAGTATATGAACAAAAATGTTACCTTTTCCCGTGTATTATTAGATTGATGATCATTAAAACATTTGTGGTTAATTTCGAATTCAATTATGGTGAATCGCCGAATGGATTGAAATCCAGGAATCGATTCTAATCGTCTTACAAAGTTCATTTAAATAAATATACCCAAAAAACGATGAGCATTAATGAGCATGTAACACAATTAATTGAACAAGCAGAAGCGTCCAAATTAATGCTAAGTTATTTTAAAAAAATGTTCGCTAGCCTTAATTAACTGATATCTGACGATCATAGTAGTATATATATTTATACGTACGTGCGCAATGCTGCATGTGTCACAGTGTCGGCCACCACTACCACTAGTATTGGCTCTCTCTCAAATGGGACAAAACCTGAACTGGTCCGGTCGGGTCGGGTAAGTGGGTGGGCACAGAGATGGATTGAGAGTGGGAGGGATCACGACCATGCGTCGTGGTTTCGTAATAAACCTACACAGCCTCTCTTTTCCCTAAATATGCTTTCAAACACATTATCCCTTTGATCGACAAGTGTTGTCCGGAATGTACACTTGAAGATATGTGGAGTGTTGAGACTTCTAGATAGAACCACCTGTTGGTAAAATTCAAATTCTCAAAGATGAAAGAATACTTCACACCTGACTTTTTTTTTGTCTTCTACAAGTTCGTAAGGGATATTAACATTGCAACTATATACTCACATATTTATCCATCTGAATTCTTGCATGATATTCAATGAGAAAATATTTAAATATATAAATAAGCTAATTAGAGAGATGATGGTGAATTTTGTTTGTATGAGTATATATTCCCTCCATTCCAGAATATACGATGTTTTAGATGTTTCACAGATATTAAAAAAACAATGATTATTTACTTTTTTAAAATATTTTTTGTGTGTTTATTAATTTAATACTAATTTTTTATATTTTTTTACCTAAAAATTGTTTTGGAAACAAAAATATATTAAATATAATGTAGAAAATCAATCTTTATGGAATAAAATAAAAAATCCAAAACATCATACAATATAAAATGGAGGAAGTATATAGCTCGCAAGACACGGTCTGAGAGACTCTTGCTTATGTTTAAAATGTGACTTGATTAGTGTTGTTAGGGTCCCACTCCAAACCCCCATGACCCTCTCTCCACATGCTCGCCTTTCAACAACAGTTTCACTTTCACGCCCCATTCTAAAATATTCCCATCATATTAATTCACGGTAACGGTAAATCGCTGGTGTCTCTTTTCAGTAACGCCCCTTCTTCATTTCCTTTTTTCTTTTAGATTAATTGTTCGATTTTTTCAACTCGTGATAATTGTCACTCTCATGCACTTATTAGCAGAAGAAAATGGATGAGGCTTCTCCTTCTCTTCCACCGCCTTTTCTATCAAAAGATCTTAATCTCCAAATATTTCACCATCAATCCTCTAATCAGCAAATCGTCGGACTGAAACGAGACCGTGAAGAAGACCAAGTTGAGCACAAAGCCGCGACTCCCTCAGGCGGAGGAGGAGAGAAGCTCAACAAAAGAAGGCCACGTGGCAGACCCACAGGCTCCAAGAACAAACCCAAAACACCGATCATTGTCACACGCGACTCCGCAAACGCTCTCCGATGCCATGTCATGGAAATAACCGGCGGCTGCGATGTAATGGAAAGCCTAAACGTCTTCGCTAGACGCCGTCGGCGTGGGGTTTGCATATTAACCGGAAACGGCGCCGTTACAGACATCACTGTTAGACAACCCGGCGGAGGCGGAGGCTGTAACACAGTCGTTAAGTTACACGGACGGTTCGAGATTCTTTCTCTCTCAGGCTCGTTTCTTCCTCCACCGGCTCCACCAGCTGCGTCAGGTTTAACGGTTTTCCTAGCCGGTGGTCAAGGTCAAGTGGTCGGAGGCACCGTTGTGGGACCGCTTATGGCTTCAGGTCCGGTCGTGATTATGGCAGCTTCGTTTGGAAACGCAGCTTACGAGAGGCTGCCATTAGAGGAGGAGGAAACTGAAAGAGAAATAGATGGAAACGCGACTGTCACGGGTGAAACGCAAACGCAGAAGCAGTTGATGCAAGATGCAACGCCGTTTAGTCAAGCGTTGCCTTCGAATTTAATGAATTCTGTTTCATTGCCGGGTGAAGCTTATTGGGGAACGCACCAACCGTCTTTTTAGATTATCCTTATTATTTTATAGGGGAAGGGTTCTTCTTATTGATAAAAAATTGTTTTTGTTTTGCTCCTTTTTGCTTCTTATTGAAACTGGTGAAGGAAATCGGAAGGTAGCATTTTGTAGGGGAGAGAGATGTTCAGGTGCTTGATGATGATGATGACTTCATTCTGATCGGTCGATATTAGAATATTTTCCTTGAAGCTTGGTTCTGTTTATACTATATCGATCCCGCAACAGAAACGTCATGAGAATCTCCTTCTTGCTATCCGCCGCATCTTCGAGATTTGAGTCACTTAACATCACTTCTCTAAGGAACGATATTAGACGTGTGACGTTCTTCAGATAATATCTTAAAACAAAGGATCTGTGTCTGCAAAACAGAGTAAATTCTCGAATGTTGCAATTTCCACAAAGAAAACTTACAAATTTGTAATGCTAATGTAATGATTTATTTACCCTAGGATTCTCGGGTCCATGCATATCTTTTTGACCATATTTTTTCAACCAATATCCGTTATCAAGTGAAGTTCCTTATTGCCCTGTTCCAACGAAACTCTTCTTCTTCTTCTTGATCATCTAGTTTTGGTTAGATTTCATACTTCAGGCTTTCCTTGTTAATCTTTTTAGGCTGCCCTATAGTGAGATTTTGTTTTGACCCTATCTATACAGATGAAAGGCTCAGTGATAATAGACGGAAGTTTATACTATGTAGGAGTTGCTTACTTGGCACGTCTGGATTTGCTGAAACAGAGAAGCAAAATGTGAAGAAACCTTAGCCATTGGAGTTTAGTATATATTAGAAGTGTGTGTGGCATTCGTTCAGTTTGGAGCTTTTGCAAGTTGTGGGTTGTATTTTACAAACGTGTTGTTTGTTAGAGATCCAACTTAGGGTTATGATTTTTGTATTCGTTTCTGATAAGGATTCTTATTGGAGTTGATAATGGTTGTACCGGTTATGTGTATAATGGGATTGGACCGGGTCCATAGAGAAAGAGAAAAAACAAATTATTAGCTATATTAAATACAAATTGGAATAGTTTGAGAACCAGGCCCAATCTTAATTTAACTTAAGTTTTGTAAACTAGCACTGATCCAATACTGGTTTAACTTCTGGTTCATCGATTTTAACCGAGTTTTTTTTTACCCCACAAATTACTACTTGGTACATTAGGTCTCCCAACAAAGGTTCAGAGCCGTTGTTTTTATTTCAGTAGAAGACGAGAAGGAACATAATTAAGAGACGATTCATGAAGATCACTAAAGGAAGGAGGAGGTGGAAACAGGGGAGAGTTTTGTATGAAGAAGAGAGAAGAGAGCATTGTTTTCTTGGTGAAGAAGAAAAGCTTTCTTCTTTAAAGCCTCATTCTCTCGTATGATGCTTTGATTCTCTATGAAAAGCTCCAAGTTTCTCATCTCCATCTCCTTCTCTTGTCTCAGTAATCTTCTTCTCCTGGCCCCAAAGAAAAAAGAAACAGAGTAGATCTGTTAATATTCAGAAACGCTAAATCAGAGTCAATGTGATCTGAAGAAGCTTTATACGATATGGAAGATGAAACTGAACCTGGTGAGACTAAGGACACGAATATGCGTTTGTTTCTTAGATTTACGTTTGTTGTGGCACGAAGCTGATCTCATCGTGGGTGTGCGTGTGTCTGGGAATGATCCTGAAGGTCTCAGACACATCTTCTTCTGGTTTTATCCCACAGAAGAACTGCGTAAACACAATGGATAAGTAACCTTTATATAGAAATAACTAGACCTTTTGTGTTCCGTGAGAAGAGAGAGAGAGAGAGAGAGAGAAAGAAAAATGAAGAGAGAGGGAGAGAAGAAGGCTTTTGAAGGTAATGATGGCAAAAGGAAACTCATGATTATAGAGGGACCAGGGATGCATGGGTTAAGGACGAAGATGATGAAGAAGAAGACCAAAACAGACTCTCTCTCTCTATTTCTTGTTCTTGATTGAATAGTTACAATACTCATAGAGGAGATTTAGTAAGTTTCCTCAAACTACTCAAGATACAGTTATGAGGTACAGTGCATAACAAATAGACCATAACAAAACATACAAATCATTCAATTCCATACTAATTGATTACTTGTATTGTAATCGACAAGAGAAAGGTCACATGATATTTAGACCGACGTAAAGTTGTACTAGAATTTGAAGTTTTTTTTTTTTTTTTTTTTGAGATATATATTTCTCCAGAACACCAATTAAAAGGGAAACCAAAAAAAAAAAAAAAAAGACTCAAAGAAAACTCAAACTTCCTACCAAACCAATTCCAAAGGTCGAGGTCTTAGATTCCCGGTAGCACATTGGCATCTTTTCTCATAACTGGGGTCTAAATTTAAGAAAAAAATACCTTAATTCAGAAATTTTTTTTTGAGAAGACTTAAATAACTAGTTCCTATATAAAATATAATCATGTGATATGAATAGAGGAAAAAAAACATAATTGATGAGACTAAGGACTAGGACCACTAAAAAACTCTTACTCATTTCTTGTGTTGATATTTGTTTGAGATGCAACCAAATAGAAAGACAAAAAGAAGAAGAAATTAATAAAGAAGGGTGAAGAAACTAGTACTACTAAGACTAAATTGCAAATTGGAGGAGCAAGTCAACATCCGGAATTATTAGCATGCCTCAAAATGATCAAAGCTGTTATAATTCTATACCTATATTCTCTACTACTATTTCTAACTATATTCTTAGAGTAGTAAGCATTGTCTACCACAAACAAAGAGATGATGGGTCTTCTTTAAACTAAACCATGCATCAAACATAAAAATAGAAATAAATAAAAAGAATCACAAAACTGAAGCTTATAAACGCACAAAAGAAGTATCATAAATGCATAAATGGCAAGATGGTTTACAATAGATTGGGGGTAATTTCATGAGTTGGTACTTCTTACAGTGATGAGTGTTCTTGCACAAGGGTGGTCCAAATCAGAATTAGCACGCCCTTTCATTATTCAAAAATGGTACCATAGACGAATCACCAGCTAGAGATACCTTACCACTCTCATCCATTATGTGTCTTAAGCTATACGAAAAAAAATCACATTTAATTTTCACTATCACCTTGCACTGCACACCAGCCTTATCAGAAAAGATTATATGAAACTTACTAGGGAAGGTGTATCAAACAAAACCTAAGGAAGAGAAAGTTGAAGAACAGGTTACCGATCATAGAAATGTAAAAAAAAAAAGGAAATCGTGCTAAGTAGTTATACATTGTCTTCATTCATTTGTTTCTGACCCATCAGCGTCGTGGCTCCTTCCATTGCATGATCAGAAGAGTGTAATCTATAGTCTCATTTTGTTCCTATAAGAAGAAACCTCTGTTTCTTAGTTTGAGACATAGACATCTGTTTTTTTTCTTCCTAAAGAAACCTAGACATGTCGAGCTTGTGCAATAGCATGTATGTGCAAATATTCTTATCATTGAGGTTTGAGTATGCTTAAACATAAATCAGTTGTTATCTATAGTTCTAATGACTCAAAACAAATTAGACCATGAGAGAAAGCAACATAACCTATTAAAAAAAAACAAACACGAATTAGCCCATTAGTAACCCTCATTATGACCTCATTCTTAATTAGGCTCCATCTTACAGTGATTTCCACAAACATATAGCTTTGTATCCATCGGATACTGGCGTGAACAAAAATGGTGATCATACGTCAAAGTATACATAGCATCGAATTTGAAGACTAGAAGAGAATAATCTTAGTAGGAATCTAGCTAGGGTATCAATTGCAAAAGCAATGGACCAAATAAAATGATTACAACCAAATAGAAAAAGACAAAAATGAGAAGTCAGATCGTAGTTTTGTGAATCGATGGTATCAGCGAAGGAGACTGTGTACGATCCTTGGACTCACTAGAAAAGGCTAAAACGAGGAAAAGGTGGGGACTTTCAAACCCTAACCGTATACAGTATAAGTGAGTGTCGTCTTAACAGGCAAAAAAACGCCAAGCTGTGTTTGAACAGAAATTAATAAATGGGCTATCTTTGGAGTCTTGTTATATTAGACGACACATTTCTTCTGTCGGATCCTATTTTTGGTTTGGTTTTCTTTTCTAATTTTTTTTATTTTATTTGTGTAATCTCGTAATGGTTTAGAGAATTGTAATGAGCAAATCTGTAAATGTTCGATCCTCAATCAAAAAACACGTTTCCAATTAAACAAATTTAAGTGTTATTTGTAAATTGTAATGTCGAGTATTGTGTACACGTCAGGTTTTACTTTTTGATCGTGTAACAGACTTGAAAATAAAATAAAGTTACTGTTTGTAATATAAAGGCTATTAGTGAAAATTGTGATTTTTTTTCTCTCTTATGTCTCGTACAGTCGTACTCTTGTTAGTGGAACTATATACTCCGTTACATTTGGTTCAACTATATAGAACGAATAAACAAATTTGATAAGACGTGGACCCGATGAACTATATTACACTCCGTTACATTACATTTGTTCAACTCTCGCCACGTTCTACTTTCGAACTTCCCAATGGGCAATGGGCAATGGGCAATGCTTTGATGTTTTCAAAGAAAATCACGATAACCACGAATTTTATAATACGACGTCGCGTGACCCGATGATAAAGCAAAAAAGGCCAAAGGCTAAAATTGGAAACAAACTTAACTAGAAGATCTCAAAGTTTCAACAGAACTACAAACTAAAAAGATTAACTTAAACCCCACTTCTCTAATCCCAGTCTTTAAGTCTTAACAAACACAATCACAAAAATAACAAAAACTCATCGAAAATTAAATTAATAGAAGAATGGCAGTCTGCGTAATTACTACAAGTCGTAAGGGTATTTAGAACGAGAGTGATGTAGCGGCAAGAGTGACCAATGCGGTGAACAACGGAGGAGCGTTCACGTGAAGCGCCGCGTTTTTCGCTTTACTGTCCTCTGAACTTGTCGGGGAGTCTGACGGAGCTCCTTCCGGCGAATCATCCACTGGAGGTGCCGGCGGAGAAGCTGCAACAGGCGACGGAGCTTCCGCTGGAGAGGGAGACTTAGCCGGAGACAGTGTCGGTGCGCTCACTGGCTCTGGAGCTGGCGCCGGAGATGGGGATTTTCCGAAGAGCTCCGTGGGGAGGAGCACTTTATCCACCGTGAAAATCACGACAGGTGTCTCATCGACCACCGTATCGGCGAGTCTCGACGGACCTACTCCGGTATGAAGGATAACTTCGTCGCCGGAAGTTGACGTCGTTAAATCGTATTTCCCGGCTCCGTTAGTGGCTAATGTGGAGATTGAGTCTTTGTTAGTCTTCAATGAGCCTTTGGGTTTGTATTCGGCGAGGGCGTGATACTCTAGGAGCGAGACCACCTCAGCTTGCGTGAGCTTCGTCAGATCCGGTACGCCTTCGGCTTTGAAAGCTTCATCGGACGGTGCAAAAACCGTCAAGCCTTTTTCGACGGTGGATTCGTAGGTCTTAAGCACACCGCTCGAGACGAGCAAACTCGCGAAGGATTTACAACCGGCTTTCTCGAGAAGTCCGGTGATGTTGTTAACTCCGCCGGCGGATGGAGCAGGGGCGGTTAAGATTCCGGGAGCGATGATCGGAGCGTCGATTTCGAGAACCGAGATGTTGTAAGGGATTTGTTTAACTGACTTGGTGTAGGAGGAATCGAGCTTGGATCCAGAAGCGGCGGAGCCAAATCCGACCTTGCCGCCTTTGAGATCGGTGACGTTGACGAATCCGAGGTTTCCGGGAGCGTTTCCTGTGGTTTGGTAAAGCGTGGTGGTGAGGGTTGTGCCTTTAGAGATCCTGTGGAGTTTTTGAGGATCATAGTAATCGAGGAGGACGAGGAGGCTGAGAGCATTCTTGATGACGGAGAGTGGATGTTTTCCGGCGAGGGAAGACATTGCGCCATTGTTGAGAACAAGGAGGGTGATGGTAGTGCGGCTGTTGATTTCGTCGGCGAGCTTCGTTTGGGAAAGGTAGCTGTTGAAGGAGGAATATTCCGGCGAATCGGCGAGGATTTGGGTGATGTTATGGCCGGAGACGGTAGAAGCGATGGCGAGGAGAGAGAGAGTGATTGCGAGGAGAGAGAAAACTCGTGATACGGCCATTGGATTTTGACGGTTGAGTGGAAGTGTGGACTGTGGAGAAGAGAGAGATGTGAAGTTTAAAAGAAGAAAGAAGGATATTAATGAAGAGGTTAAATGTTAACCATGGTTAAAGTGAGAACACGTGCTTTTGCTAAAAAGCATGAAATCGCGAAAATTTGGCTTTTGGGCTTTCTTCTCTTTGCTTCTTCTTCTTCCAAAAGCATCCGTTATACTCTTTTGACGTCACCATTATCATTTTATTAAGGTTAAAGTGACCGTAACGGCTATGAGCTAAAGTTAACCATAATCACATTCAGATACTCTGGCTAGTGGTCTGCTGAATTTTTAGACCTTATATACTAAACGATCATTAAATATTGAATTATCCAAAAGACCAAAACTAGTAAAGGCATAGATACAGTAGTACTACAAAAGCTAAACCATTACACTAAAGAACAAAAACAAAATTACTACTCCTCCAATTAATTAATAACCCACCAATAAAGGGCGGAGATGTTATTTAAGCCCATTAATAAGGAAGCAGAGGCTGCACGTGTGAGCAGACACAGGTCACGTGTCACTCATCACCTTCACACGATTTGTATTGGGCCAGTATTAGGCCCAAACTGGGTAAGCCGGTCAAAACAACGACTACGAAAAAAGCTCCGCCGCAGATTCTCAGATCGGATCTTTTTGCGCTAGAGAGAGAAAGAGAGAGAGAGATGCAGAGGGACGTGTCGAGCTGCAACACTTACAACTATGGCGACGCTCTCTATTGGGACGCGCGTTACGTGCAAGACGCGCTCTCCTTCGACTGGTACCAACGCTACTCTTCTCTCCGCCCTTTCGTCCGCAGCTTCGTCCCTACTTCTTCACGAGTCCTCATGGTCGGCTGTGGCAATTCCCGTAAATATCTCTTCTTCCTCTCCCTGTTTACAATTGCTATGGGTTTCGAAATTTCTGCCTGAAGAACTCTGCCACTGCCATTGATTGAATTTGACTTCAACGCACTCAAATCTAAAACCTTTAAACTCTTTTGGTGCAGTTATGTCAGAGGACATGGTGAAGGACGGATACGAGGACATTATGAATGTTGATATCTCTTCTGTGGCTATTGAGATGATGCAAACCAAATATGCGTCTGCTCCTCAGCTCAAATGTACAAACTTTCTTAAACATCTCCAGTTTTTCGATTTACTTGATTTATTTGTATGTGTAAAGTGTGAAGCTTTATTGGTTGGTAAACTTTTGTAACCCATCAGATATGCAAATGGATGTTAGAGATATGAGCTACTTTGCGGACGAGTCTTTTGATACCGTCATTGATAAAGGTATCTTGTGGCTCCCATTTTACTTACTCTTTGAGTTTTTGTTCCTTTGCTCTGTTTTTTTTCTGGTGGAAAGCTTAAAAGTGATTTTTTTTTGTTTTCTTTAATCTCAGGAACACTTGATTCATTGATGGTAGGGAGTGAATCTTGACTCTTCTCATCCTTTGTTTCCGGTATTTGATGTCTCCATGCGTATTATTTTTTTTTAAGTTTTCTTCTTTTGTGGCGGTGTGGTTCCAGTGTGGCAATGATGCTCCTCTAAGTGCTCCGAGAATGTTGGGTGAAGTTAGCAGGTTATATAGTTAGTTAGTACCACTAAGATCATGGCTGCTCCTGAATCATCATTATGGATCTTCATTATTGGATTCTCTTTAAACATTTGACAATATATTTGTATACCCTTTTTTGAACCAACGAAGCTCTTCTTTTTTCATATGTTGCAGGCTGATTAAACCTGGAGGGACCTATTTCTTGGTAATATACTCTCACTTGCATTCACATTTATGTATGGAATTGTTGTTAGGTGTCGTCTCTGGGATTATTAACCTGTGTGTTTGGATAGATAACCTACGGTGATCCAAAAGTGAGAATGCCTCATTTGACTCGTTCTGCGTACAACTGGAAGATCTCCTTATACATCATACGTAAGCTTCCACTCTTTTTTTTTCTGCCAAGAGATGATTCTCTTATGAATTGTATTCTTAGCTAAACCCTTTTGAGTTCCTGCAGCAAGACCGGGATTCAAAAGGCCAGGAAGCTGTAGCTCGTCAGCTAAAACGTGTCTGGAAGCTATACCTATGACAAGTGAAGGAATGTTGCCACATGATTATGTTCTGGAGGATCCTGATTCCCATTTTATCTACATATGCAATAAGAAGGATGAAGAAGTAGCTCAACTACCCTCATACCCATTAATGGGGGATGTTTTGTACTAGTGATGTCTGTGGATGGCATGGAGGCTAAGAACTATCTCTTGTCTTCTTGATCCCCGTGTAGATCACCAAATCTACTCTTGTATTTTGTATGTTGTATTTTGTTTTTTTCCAATCAGCTCTAAAGTTTATTATAAGAATAAAACATCTTACTTATATCTTCTTCAAAGCCTAAATGGATTTATTTCATCTATCGTCATTTGACTCTTTACTATATTTATTGCACAATACAGTACAAAACAGAGCAAGAATTCATTTATTCGTAGTGCAAATTACAAAAAGGGTAACTAACCACTCGCACGTTTCTTGACAGGGACGGCATGAAGTGGGTTTTTCTTATGCAAGGTACTACCGAAGGTCTCTTCCATGTCTACATCCTCAGGGACGACACCGTTTTGTAGTTTCCATTGAAAGGAATGAAGAAGAGAAGCAAGAATGAAAGGCACTGTCCTCATAGCCAGAGACATTCCAGGACATATTCTTCGTCCAGCCCCAAACGGTATCAGCTCGAAATCTCTACCTTTCAAATCGATTTCTCGCCCAAACAAAAACCTATCTGGCTCGAACCGCTCTGCGTTTTCCCACGCCCTCGAGTCTCGTCCTATAGCCCAAACGTTCACCAAAACCTGAGCATTCTTAGGCACGAGAAACCCTAAAACCTCTGCGTTTGACTCGGCTTGATGTGGGGCCAGAAATGGACCCGGTGGGTGTAAACGCAGAGTCTCTTTCACTAACGCTTGTAAATAAGGAAGATGTGATGTATCCGACTCCTGAACCACACCGTTTGGACCTACCACATCGTCCATCTCTGCTTGAGCTTTAGCCATTGTCTTAGGGTTGCGAAGTAGCTCAGCCATTGCCCATTCCACTGTGCTGGAGTTCGTATCCACCCCTCCAATAAACAAGTCCTGACACATACATATATGGGTTTTAAAATATAGATTTTACAAAGCAAATCTCAAACACAAAGATGTCTAAGATTGGGGAATCGTATATAAAAAGCCTTTTAAAGGCACTTACTAATAGAAAGTGTTTGATATCGTTCACGTTGAGCTCAGATCCGTTCTGTTTGACTAAATCCATAAGCAAATCCAAGAGATCGTTTTCAGGCCGCGACGATTTCTCACTGTTCCGACCATCGATGAACCCTTGAAAAACCTGGAACAACCTATCCGAGCATACTTTCATCTCTTTCCGGATACCTTGCAGATCAAGAAACCCAATAAACGGGAAATAGTTGGCGAGGTTTGGTTTCCCGACGGTTTTCATTATACGAACCACCGAGTCTTGGAGCTCCAGGGAGGCTCTCGGGTCGTAACTACTCAAGTCGGTCGAAAACATAGCGTTTGAGATTAGATTGATGGATGTGACGAAAGAGGCACGAGCAATGTCGACGGGTTCTCCTCTTTCGCATCTGTCGCTCATAAAGGTTAAAAGTTCATTCACTTTCTTCATCCGCACGGACTTCGTGGCTTCGAGACGCTGCGGGGAGAACATGCGACTCGCTGATATCTTCCTCCATAACCTAAGTGAAAAATAATATCCAAAAATATATCAAACCATCTCTCTGATTTGAAAACCAAAGTGATACGAACCAAATTACTGTTACAAGCCTGTAAGAGACTGGGAAATCAAATAATCATAAACCAAATTAACCAACAAGAAAAGGGTTCTTCTATAATTTACCTCCAACGAGATGACGTGGAAGGTAGCCAGGCCATGGAGATATTGTCGTGGCCGATGAATCGAATGGGGTCGAAGAAGGGTCGTCCAGACAGGACTTGGTCATGTGTTTTTAGCACCTCTCTTGCGGCCTCTGGTGAAGAAATTACCACTGTGGTTAAACTTCCAAGCCTGAGACTCATGATCGGTCCATAAATTTTCGAGAGGTCGGTAAGTGAACGATGGGGAGCTTTCCCGATTTGGAGAATGTTTCCGATGATGGGCCATCCCGGATGTCCCGGAGGCAGTGCAGTTGATCTCCGTCGGGATCTGACGGCGGCAAGGAGGAGGAATGATAATAAGAAGCAAAAGATGAGGAAAAGAGCCGCCCCCATTAGATGTTTTTGAGTCTTTTACGTCTCTAGCTACTTCTAAGCCACCTTCTTCTACTTATCTATGGTCTATGGACATAATATAAAGTTACTCTGTCTAATAGTTTTGTACTTTTTTTCACCAGTTTCCTTTTGAATTATTGTTGACCAAAAAAGAAATAAAGAATCATTGTTTTTCTTTTGTAGAATCATTTTGTCAAGGAAACTAAAGCACGATTAAACCATGAGAAACGGGCATTTTGAATCATGAACTTATTTGCTAAAAAAAGAAAATCTACTCGTTTAAAAAAAAAAAAAATACTAAAACAAACTCAAAATTAAATTATTTATTGCTTCACGTCCATCTCGCGCGTAGTTCTCAAACCACCGGAATAATATAGGGCCAGGCAAATTATCTGTTATATTTGATTCGATCTGCTATTTGCTTCGATTCGATTCAAAAAATCTGGATATCCGTAGTTTTACGGAGCAAAATAAATACTAAATTTTGATATCCGTTAAAAAACGGAGCAAATCACAAATATTAAAATTCTAAGAGCCGGATTTCCAATCCGCTCCGATATATATATATATATATAAATAATTACATATAGAATATATAGTTAATATAATTATATGTAAATTTTTGTAAATTTATATTTATTTTAATACAAAATTTTAATAAATTTAAAAAGAACAATTTAAAATTTAATATATAAGTTAATTTTTAACTTTTTAATTATTTTTATAAATAATTTTAATTATTTTATAAATATTTTAATTATTTTATAATTAATCTAATATTTTTGAAACAGATCGGATATCCGGTAAAAAATCCAGATTTTAACGGATATTCGAATATCCGATTAGTAACAGAGCAAATACGGATCAAAAAATTATTGATCCGTACGGAGCAGAGCGGATCACGGATATCACTCAAATTCCGAATATCCGCTCCGTGCCGAGGCCTACAATATACAATAAAAATGAAAACGAAATTACAAAAGGACTAATAAAAATATTCGTACGATTTCTTGACGAAATCAGAATAAAGTGGGTTGGTCTTGTGCAAGGTAAGACCGAAAGTCTCGTTCATGTCCAAATCCGCAGGAACGACGTAGTTTTTTTCGTTTTCAAGAGTCCATTCGAACGAATAGATAAGTGAAGCAAGCATGTGAGGCACAATCCTCAACGCCAGTGATATTCCAGGGCACATCCTTCGTCCAGCTCCAAACGGTATCATTTCAAGATCCTTACCTATCGACCCAATGTCCCGTCCCAAGAATCTCTCTGGCTCGAACCGTTCCGCGTTTTCCCAAACGCTCGGGTCTCGTCCTATAGCCCAAGCGTTAACCAGAATCTGAGAATTTTCAGGAACGAGGAACCCTAAAACCTCTGTGTCTGACGCAGCTTTGCGTGGGATCAGAAATGGACTCGGTGGGTGCAAACGGATAGTCTCTGTTACAACAGCTTGTAAATAGGGAAAATCTAAGAGATCGGAGTCACGAACGTAACGGTTTGGGCCAACAATAAAGTTGATCTCGACTTTAGCGTTAGCCATAGCTTCTGGGTTACGTAATAGCTCAACCATTGCCCATTCTACCGTGGTTGAGTTCGTCTCCGTCCCCGAAATAAACAAGTCCTTCACATTAACCAAACATTCATTATAATTTGGTTCAAAAAAGAATAATTTCTTGAATTTGCATGTAATAGTAAAATCTATATTTTAAGTTACGAAAGATAAACACAATATGCTATTTCTTTATATATATATATATATATATATATATATATATATATATATATATTAAAATCCTTTTGAAAATCATAATCCGTTAATCCCAACAATTTTTACTGATGTTTTGGGTTTACGTTTAATAATTTTATTAAAACAGAAGAATTAAAATACTATAAATGGTGTGTTCTATCTTCATGAACATTCACGTAAAAGCAAATGCAAATATGAAAACGAGAAAAAAAAATTTTGAGCCATAATTTTTAATACTTATATCACTTACGTATAGAAAGTGCTTGATATCGTTCATATCGACTTCAGATCCGTCTTCTTGAATAAGATCGATAAGTGAATCCAACAGATCGCTGTTATATTCATCTCTAGGTCCAGTCTGCGATCGTCTCTCCGTCATCCGAGCATCAATGAGCCCTTGAAAAACCCTAAACAACCTCTCTGAACACACCTTCATATCTTTCCTGATACCTTGTAGATCAAGAAACCCTAGAGACGGAAAATAGTTTGCGAGGTTCGGTTTCGCCATGATTTCCATTATACAAAACAACGAGTCCCGGAGCTCAACGGAGGCTCTAGGGTCGTAACTACCCAAGTCGGTCGAAAACACAACGTTTGAGATTACATTAAGAGACGTGACGAAGCAAGCACGAGCAATCTCGACGGATTCTCCTCTTTCGCTGCTTTCGACCATGTATGTTATAAGTTCTTTCACTTTCTTCGACCGTACGGTCTTGGTGGCTTTGAGACACTTCCTTGAGAACAGCTGAGTCTCCAAAATCTTCCTCCATAACCTAGGTGGAACATTATCCATATTTATTATACATGAGTGGATTATAAATCGGACGAAACTAAACCCAAACCAATTAATTATTTATGTGAGATTCTGATTGACTTATTTATAATTTACCTCTGTTGAACTAAGCTTGAAATCATATCAAGATTAGGATACCTAAAGAGTTTAGGTTTAGAAAGAGATGTTTTAGGAGTTGTCTAATGCATTCTCTAATAGAATTAGGAATTGCCTATTGGCTATATAAGCAATGTTGAGTTGTGACATTAGTTTTAAGAAAGATTTAGAGTTTAAGGTTTTGAGTGATTTTCCTTAAACTAATAAGAGAGTTATTCTTATTAATCCTTGATCTTTGAGTTCTTAAGTTCTTGTTACAAACAATAATTGGTATCAGAGCTTCAGAACTTTGAGAATCTGAGAAGCGAACCATGGGAGATATCGTTGCAGCAAACGCAGCAGCAACAAGACCTAAAGAAGGAGGAGGCGGTCCGTCTTCAATCACATGTCCGATGCTGAACACAACTAACTACACGGTCTGGGCTACGAGAATGAGAGTGATGCTCAAAGTCCATAAAGTTTGGGAAGTTATTGAAGCAGAAACAGATCCACCCGACGGTGATAAAAACAACATGGCTATAGCCCTGTTATTCCAATCGATACCTGAGACACTCATCCTACAAGTCGGAGAACTCGACACAGCGAAGAAGGTCTGGGAATCCATAAAAGCGAGACATGTAGGTGCTGAGCGAGTGAAGGAAGCTAGATTACAGACGCTAATGGCCGAGTTTGACCGACTTAAGATGAAGGATACAGAAAAAATCGATGACTTTGCAGGAAAGTTATCGGAGATCTCCTCGAAATCAGCTGCCCTAGGAGTAAGCATCGAAGAGTCAAAGCTTGTCAAAAAATTCCTCAAGAGTTTACTGCAAAAAAAATATATACATATTGTTGCTTCTCTTGAGCAAGTATTGGATCTCAATACCACCAGCTTCGAAGACATTATTGGGAGATTAAAGGCATACGAAGAACGTATTTATGAAGAAGAAGATGCTCAAGAGGATCAAAGCAAGCTAATGTACCTGAATGAGGAAACACAAAGCAACCAAGCAAATCGAGAGTACAACGGTGAGTACAGAGGCAGAGGTCGAGGAGGAAGAAACAGGGGACGTGGTCGCGGACGCTCGGGAGGAAGAGACACTTCCAAGATTATGTGTTTTCGATGCGACAAGATGGGACATTATGCATCAGTATGTCCTGATAGGTTACTGAAACTGCAGGAAATACAGGAAGACGAGGGCAACGATACACAAGACGCGGATGAACTTATGATACATGAAGTGGTATTTCTAAACGAGAAAAAGGTTATACCAAGCAAGTATGAGAAAACCGCCAAAGAATCAGATATATGGTACCTTGATAACGGAGCTAGCAACCACATGACAGGAGATAGGAGATACTTTGATCAAATCGACGAGTCTATTACTGGGAAAGTGAGGTTTGGAGATGACTCGCGGATAGATATCAAGGGAAAAGGCTCAATCTCTTTCATTGACATCAATGGAAAGGCACGAACAATGTATGACGTCTACTACATCCCCGATTTAAAAAGCAACATTATCAGTCTAGGACAAGCTACCGAGTCAGGCTGTGACATAAGAATGAGAGGAGGAGTCTTAACAATGCATGATTCAGAAGGAAAACTGCTTGTTAAGGCAGAAAGAGCTAAGAACAGACTTTACAAAGTACACATGGGACTACGGGATACCACATGTCTACACATCAATGCAACAAGCGAGTCGAGTAAATGGCACGCCAGGTTGGGACATATAAACATTGAAACAATGCGGTCAATGATCCAGAAGGAGCTGGTTCGAGGAGTACCACGCATTGCGATCGAGAAAGAAATTTGTGGTTCATGTTTACTTGGAAAACAATCACGACAAGTATTCCCGCAAGCTTCTTCTTATAGAGCGTCTAAAAATCTTGAACTTGTACATGGAGATCTGTGTGGCCCGATCACACCAAGTACAGCTGCTGGGAATAAGTATATTCTCGTACTTATAGATGATCATTCACGTTACATGTGGGCGATTTTGCTTAAAGAAAAGGGAGAAGCATTTAACAAATTCAAGAACTTTAAGCGACTAGTTGAACATGATTCAGGGGAGAGTATAAGAACCTTCAGAACAGATAGAGGAGGAGAATTTGTGTCTCAAGAATTTAACTCGTTCTGTGAAGAAGCTGGTATTAAACGTCATCTCACAGCTCCATACACTCCGCAGCAGAACGGGGTAGTTGAGAGACGCAATAGGACCTTACTGGAGATGACTCGAAGTATCATGAAGCACATGTATGTGCCAAACTATCTATGGGGTGAGGCAGTTAGGCATTCGACATATCTTCTGAACAAAGTAGGTACCAGGGCGTTAAAGGACAAAACCCCGTATGAAGTCTTTAAGGGAAAGAAGCCAACGATTAGTCATCTTAGGATCTTTGGTTGTATCAGCTTTGAAAAAATTGATAAACCACATCTAAAGAAACTAGATGACAGATCGAGGAAGCTTGTTCATCTTGGAATAGAGCCTGGATCGAAGGCCTATCGACTTCTAGATCCAACCTCTCGGAAAATAATAGTAAGTAGAGATGTTATATTTGACGAAAATAAGGGGTGGAACTGGAACAAAAATCAAGAGCAGGATGAAGGTTTTACTGTAAATTTTGGAGATTTCGGAAATCACGGCATCCGAGAAGAAGAAGAGAACGTCGAGATGGAGAGAACCACTCTTGATGAGTCTGGTGCACACATCGACAGTGGAGATATGTCGACACAGGAACCCGTTTATCAACAGATAGAGGATCGGGATGTATCTGGCTTTGCGAAACAGAGTCCAGCGAAACAGAGTCTCGCGAACCAAAGTGCTGCAAAACAGAGCCCTGCGAAACAGAGTACCGCGAACCAAAGTGCTGCAAAACAGAGCCCTGCGAAACATAGTACCGTGGTACCCCCCCTTAAGGCGCACCGAAAGGCAAAGTAACTTACCATCTTACCTTGAGGACTATGTTCTGATTGCGGAAGAAGAAGGTGAGATGTTGTTACTGAGCTTAAACAAAGAGCCAAGAAACTTCTATGAGGCAAAAGACTCGAGAGAATGGACTCTCGCTGCAGAAGATGAAATATGCTCCATCGAGAAGAATAACACATGGAAATTGGTTGACTTACCGGATGGAGTTAAACCGATTGGCTTAAAATAGGTATTCAAACTTAAGAGAAATTCTGATGGAAGCATAAACAAGTACAAGGCTCGGTTAGTCGCGAAGGGGTACATACAGAAATACGGAGTTGACTTCGAGGAAGTCTTCGCTCCAGTAGCCCGGATAGAGTCTATACGACTCCTAATTAATCTTGCAGCTTCCAACGGATGGGAGATACATCACCTCGATGTAAAAACGGCGTTTCTGCATGGTGAGTTGAAAGAGACTGTCTATGTTACACAACCGGAGGGTTTTGTAGTTAAAGGACAAGAAGATAAGGTCTACAAGCTTAACAAAGCGTTGTATGGACTCTGGCAAGCACCGAGGGCGTGGAATAACAAGCTTAATCAGATTCTATTGGGATTTCAGTTCAAGAAATGCTCAAAGGAACCTTCTGTTTATCGAAAGGAGATAAGTGGAGATCTTCTTGTCGTAGCAATATACGTTGATGATTTGTTTGTCACGGGAACAAGCATGAGAGTCATCGATGAGTTTAAAGCAGAGATGGCCTCCAAGTTTGAGATGAGTGATCTTGGAAGGCTAACATACTATCTCGGGATCGAGGTGTGTCAGCATGATGGTGGAATAGTTCTAAGCCAGAAGAGGTACGCTCAAAAGATTCTAGAAGAAGCAGGTATGAAGGGATGCAATCCGGTGTATGTACCAATGGATTCGGGTCTGAAACTATCGAAATCAGAGGATGAGAAAGAGATAGATGCTACCAGTTTCAGAAGAAACATTGGATGTCTACGTTACCTGCTTCATACAAGACCTGATTTGTCCTATTGTGTTGGAGTTTTGAGTCGCTATATGCAGAGTCCAAGGGAATCACATGGAGCTGCTATGAAGCAATGTCTACGGTACCTACACGGTACTACTACCCTTGGATTAACTTGCGTGAGATCAAACTCTAGGATCCCTAAGCTGATAGGCTATAGTGATAGTAGCCATAACGTCGATCCGGACGATGGAAAGAGTACGACATGACATATTTTCTATCTCGGTAGTAGTCCGATTACTTGGTGTTCGCAGAAACAGGACACTGTAGCATTATCATCCTGCGAAGCTGAGTTTATGGCAGGTACAGAAGCTGCAAGACAAGCAATCTGGCTTCAAGACTTGCTTGGTGAAGTCACTGGCGTTCCGTCTGAAAGAGTTGTTATTCGCATAGATAACAAATCTGCTATTGCACTTACAAAGAACCCGGTCTTTCATGGCAGAAGTAAGCACATCCACACTCGATATCATTTTATACGAGAATGTGTTGAAGAAGGTCAAATCGAAGTCGAACATATTCCCGGAAATCAGCAGAAGGCGGATATACTAACTAAGACACTAGGAAGGATCAAATTCAGGGAAATGAGGGATCTCATCGGCATTCAAGACTTGAAGGAAGATGACTTCAAGCTTAGAGGGGAGAATGTTGAACTAAGCTTGAAATCATATCAAGATTAGGATACCTAAAGAGTTTAGGTTTAGAAAGAGATGTTTTAGGAGTTGTCTAATGCATTCTCTAATAGAATTAGGAATTGCCTATTAGCTATATAAGCAATGTTGAGTTGTGACATTAGCTTTAAGAAAGATTTAGAGTTTAAGGTTTTGAGTGATTTTCCTTAAACTAATAAGAGAGTTATTCTTATTAATCCTTGATCTTTGAGTTCTTAAGTTCTTGTTACAAACAATAACCTCCAATAAGATGACGTGTAAGGTAGCCATGGTATGGAGACATCCTGATGATTGATGGCTCGAACGGTTTCGCTGAAGGTTTGTGCAGAGAAGACATGGTCAAGCGTTTTTAGAACCTCTCGTGCTGCCTCTGGTGAAGAAATGATCACTGTGGTTAAACTTCCAAGTCTGAGACTCATTACTGGTCCATAAAGTCTCGAGAGATTAGCAAGCGAACGGTGAGGAGCTTTTTCGATGATATGGAGAAGTCCGATGATGGGCCATCCCAGAGGTCTTGGCGGTCCCGGAGGTTCCGGAGTCAGTGGGCTTGATGATCTCCGTCGTGATTTGACGGCGGCAAAGAGAAGATATGTTAAAAGGAAGCTAAGTATTAAGAGTAGAGCTGGAGCTATAGTGTTATTCATCGTCATTTGGTTGCGTTTTTTTCTAACCACATTCCTTTACCTATTTATAGAAATTTTATTATATTATTATTAAAGTTATTATCGTTATGAGCTCAGTATCTTTAATCTTAAATATTGTATCCACAAGGTGGACAATTTATGTTTTAGGACTCAAAAGTCAAAAGTGTAATTTGTCCAAAAATACTAAAGAAACAATATGTGATATGTTTTGTTTTTTGTAAAACAACAGTACAACGGTATGTGATATGTTTTTTTTTTTTTTTTGTCAAACAACAGTACGTGTGGTATGTGTAAAAGTTATGGATAAATAATAAATGGATAATTTAATAGATAGAAACATACATATAGAAATATATACAAACAGAGATAAAAGTCAAACACGCTTCTTGATAGGCAAGGCACATATTGGTTCGGCCTTGTGCAAGGTAACACCAAAGGCCTCGCTCATATCGACATTTTCAGGAACGACGCCGTTCTGATACTTCCAGTCAAATCCGTAGAGAAGAGACGCAAGAACTAGATGCACTATCATAAAGCCAAGTGGCAATCCTGGGCAAATCCTTCGTCCAGCTCCGAACGGGATCAGCTCAAAATCATTGCCTTTCACATCGATCTCTGTTCCCAAAAACCTCTCTGGCTCGAACGCAGTTGGATTCTCCCACACGCTCGGATCTCTTCCTATCGCCCATATGTTGACAAGAACCTTTTTTTCAAAACACAGCAACGAGTAATTACACAACACAAAGCCCACCATATATAGTCATTAGAAATATATACAGATATATTCGGTTTAGTTGTTATGCATCGAAAACTTAACATGTAACGTGGACATGCCTGAGTACTCTTAGGAATGAGGAACTCGAAAATTCGGACATCTTCAGACTCGGATTTTCGAGGGATGAGAAACGGGGCGGGAGGGTGCAAACGAAGAGTCTCTTTCACTACTGCGTTTAGATAAGGTAGTTTGATGATATCCGATTCATGAACGGTGTCGTTTTCTCCTATCACTTGTCCTATCTCTTCTTGAGCTTTCACTATCATCTTAGGGTTTCGAAGTAACTCTGCCATAGCCCATTCCACTGCACTCGAACTCGTGTCTGTTCCCGCCAGAAACAAGTCCTATCACACACATCAGGTGAATGAGATCAAGAACATATTATGTAGAAGCCAATTTGCTGTGTCTTGATTTAAACATAGAATTTGCAAAGTCAAGACTTACGAGAAGCAGATGTTTGATATCATTATCATCGAGTTCCAACTCTTTTTCTTGAGCAGTGTCCAATAGATAATCTAGCATATCATTGTTGCTGTTTCTCGAAGCATTTGATGATCTCTTCGTATCGATGAATCTTTGGAAAACGCTGAACAATTTGTTCATCAACAGCCTTGCTTCTTTTCTAGTTCCTTGCAGATCAAGAAACCCAAGGAACGGGAAAAAATCGGAGATGTTTGGTTTTCCGGCGACCTCCATCATCCGAAGCACCACGTTATGGAACTCGCGAGTAGTCTCGGAGTCATCAAAGTCGGCGAGGTTTGTGGAAAACAGAGCGTTCGAGATTATATTGAGTGATGTGATGAATGATGCGCGAGCGATGTTCACAGCTTCGCTTCTCTCGCAGCATTTGTTAACGAAGCTCATAAGTTCTTGCACCTTGCTCGACCTTAAGTCCTTGGTTGCTTCTAAACGCCGCGTTGAGGATAGTTGGTTTGTCGTGATCTTTCTTAGAAACCTGACAATACACCGAAAATGAATCATGCCTTTCATTGTAACAACTTTCCAAAACGGAACCAAAAGGCAAGAGAAGTACTACTATAGTGTTAGTTTACCTCCAACGAGCAAACGGAGGTAGCCAGACAAAGGAACGCTCGTGGTGACCAGCGGCTCGAACCGGGTCAGTGGAGATTCGATAACACAAGGCAAGGTCATGTGTTTTCAGCACTTGTTTTGCTGCTTCCGGTGACGATATGACCACCGTGGTCAAACAACCAAGTTTAAGACTCATTACGCTTCCGTAAATCCTCGAGAGATCGAAAAATGAACGGTGAGGCTTTTCACCGATTTGAAAGATGTTACCAAGAAGAGGTAGCCTTGGAGGACCAGGCGGGATTTTGACTGCTCCATCGCCGGAACAGAATTTTCGGGCGGTGAAAAAGAAGAAGACGAAACAGAGTAAAAACAGAGACAAGGCTGTTGTTGCTAACATGTCCATCTGATCTCACGTTTCGTTAAACCAGATTACGTACTTGATATTTGGGAAAACTTCAAGAAAAAATCTGATATATGATGCACTTATAAGGAGGATCTTTGTACGGGCAGATCTTGTTAAGAGAACAATTTGAGGTGAAGATGAAACAACGTTGGAACTTGGAAGAGGTAGGAGATATGACAGGTGTCATTGTCCCTTCGCCGATTCCAGTAATTTGTAGTCTAGTGATTATGGTAATGTTACGCGTGGAACGGTGGAAATCAAGCAACAAGAGATTCTTTAAATTCTCTTTGTTTGACTCTATCAGATAAAAAAGTATTACAATTCCTCTTCTATAACCTATACGACCAATTTTTACGAGTGATAACAAACTGGTGCATTCTAAACGAAATTTACCCCCCTTTCTTTTTTAATTTTTTTTTGAAATTTATTAAAAGTCTATTAAATTTGAATACTAATTTGCTTAAAGCTGTAAAGATCTTATAAAACGTAAATAATTAATCAACACTCAATTTTAATACAAGTTAACCAGTTTGTCGATGGTCAGTTAACGGTCAACGTCGCCTGAGTAGGAGATGTGATTTTGTGGTAAAGCACGTCATTAACTCTGAGATGTTTTGTTTTTACCAAGCCACGTGGATCGAATCATTAAAACGTTCGTTGCCTCGTAATCGAGGTAGAATCTTTGCTCAAATTGGTCCCTGTATTTCTGCTCACGTTCCAATTTCAACCACATATTCTTGTTTAGTTCTTTCTAATCAATTTTAACAACACAACGACAAAATTCAGAAAATTTGCATATGTATAGAAAATCTTTTACAAAAATTAATTTGCATAAATACTAAATATCCTAGTTGCAATTAATCATTTATATATTTTCTAAAGCATGTTTTAAAACTTTAATTTAATGACATTTTATTACCATAAAATCACAACAATTACCTCTTTTTTTATTTTCTATGTGCAAAAATTGTAAAATCACAACATCATTATAAAACTTAAATTGAATAGACTTTGACCGTAGATGATATGGTAGTGGTTTTATTCCAATTTGCTCTCTCTTTTAAATTAAGGAACAATTTTTATTATAATAGGCTTTTAACTGAAAATAAATGCAAAAAATTCTAAAGTTTAAGTGTTAAACGAAAAATAAAGACAAATGTATGATAATTTATTTATACTTCCAATCAATGACGTGTTAATTATCCAGAATAAGTGGTAATTTTTTGTGTTTCTGCTATCCATATTCTTAGTATACAAATTTTGACATAATCAATGTAATTACATAGTTCATCCCATATAATAGCATTTCATGATGATTATTGTTCTACTCAAATCTTTGATATATGTTCACAAAGATTTATCATCTAATTTCTTTTCTTATTTTTTCTATTTAATTTTTTTTAGCTCTGCTTGCTTTTTGTAGGAGCTACATTGGTCATATGATTTAATCAGAGAATTTGTTTTTGGATAGTTGTACTTTCTAACTTTCTTTCTTAGTTGGAGAATTAAAAAATTTATCATTACTATCAATATTTTTTTTAATACTTATTGATAAAATTAAAAGTGAGAAGTTTCCAAAATACAAAATCGGAAAGAAAAGTTAATCAAAGTACAATTTATATTTATCTTTTACAATATTTATCTCTCGCTCGCTCACATACATATAGCCATTCCAAAATTTCTGTATTTTGAAGTTATTTTTCTTTGTTAACTTACCTTTTAATCTTAATTTTTTTTAAAAAAAATTCACAATAAACCACTGAAAAAAATTTGTTATCTATTTTTTTTTTTATTTAATACTGCTTTTCGTAGGAACTACATTGATATATAATTTAATCAAAGGATTTGTTTTTGGCATAGTTGTACTTTCTAAATACCCATCTTAATTAGAAAATTCAAAGAATTGATCATTATTATCAATATTTTCCTTGATCATGTTAAATGTATGTATGTAAAAACAATGTAATTGCTCGATCTTTTAAATAAATTCATGTAACAGAACTTGAAAACAACAAATAAGAAATTAATTATTCAATAATAAATTATTATCATGTATAAAACTTGATGCTAGTTTAGTAAAGGAAACTTCAGGGGCAGATTTAAGAAAATGCAAAAATATAAGGGACTAATAGTGAGTTGTTCGGAAGATGAATTAAATACAACTCCGATTCGAAAAGAACCGTTTCTCTCGCCTCGCGTCCTCTTCCCATTATCTCACTCTCTCTCTCTCTCTGGCCTACCAAAAATACTTCAATGCGCTCTTAATTTGTTCTGATTCGCCACTTGACCATTCCCGTGAAGATAAACTGCTGCCGACGTTTCTCGCCGATAACGGAAACCTTCGATCTTCGTGTGCCGGTTAGGATCCCGATTACGTTTTCCCCGTTTTCTGGCTTCATATCTAGGGTTTCTTCGAGTTCCTGATCGGTCCCCTGAGTTTTTTCGGTAATCGTTGTTTTGATTGCAGGAAAATGGGTTTGATTTCTGGAATTCTGTTCGGGATCATCTTCGGCGTAGCTCTAATGGCTGCCTGGAGTCGTATGATGACGCACCGCACGTCCAAGCGAGTCGCCAAGGTTCGATTCGATTTCTTTTCATTCCTCTGAAATCAATGGGCTTATCATCAAATTGAATGAAATTCATGATATGGTTTAAGAAAATTGATTCATCCGGGATGATTTGAGATTCCGAATCTGGGATTTAATAATTCGTCGTGATTGTGCGAAGATGTATAGGTTGTTAAACGCGTAACTTATCAGTATCTGATTTTGTTGTCTCAAATAATTCTGCTTAGCAAAATCTCTCTGCTGCTTTTAATTGTTGACATTAATGTACCAAATCTTAGTGTGTATCTGTTGATTCTACTTAGCGAGCTTCCACTTACAACCACTCTGTTTCACCATGCGTCTCTCTACATTATAGCATAGTCCTTTTTTTTGCTTCACTTGAGCTGTTTGAAAGGTGGCTTGGCCTGCGTTGCTTTTCAGTTTGAGTAATCAGATCATCCTTCCTTCATACGTGTTTCTTGGCCTCCAATACTATAAGATTGACTTGTTATAGCCTTTTCTTCTGACAGGCAGTTGATATGAAGCTTCTAGGCTCCCTTAGCAGAGAAGATTTGAAGAAGATTTGTGGTGATAATTTCCCACAATGGATATCATTTCCAGCATTTGAACAGGTACTTCTCGTCATTTTTCGTGGTTGTCTTTTATAGTCATTGTTCAACATGGTTTCTGTAAGTTATTGAGTTTTTTTAAGAACTTGATGTAAAATTATTTGCCTTAATACTCCGAATGGAGAAATCTAGTTTTAGCTTTTTTTTTCTCTTGAATTCAACAATGCTTGGTTTTGAAACAAGTGTTGTACAGCTTAAACACTCGGTTTTTCAGAAAATGAAACAAAATTTCCAACCTAAAAATTTCTTTTACTTTTTTGTCCAGGTCAAATGGCTGAATAAACTACTGAGCAAGATGTGGCCGTTTATTGCAGAGGTGAGGTTATTCTTTTCCCGTTGAAGATTGTTGGAAGTTGCCTATGAATTTACTTGCATTTATACCCTGAATAATAGTATACGAGGATATTATAGAAAGAGGAGAATCATTATAATGTCATGTTCTACTCGATTTTTTTTTCTGAAGAATCTGTTGAGATTTTGTTTATCATTCATGGAGTCGTAGACAGCTAACTGTTTGCCTGGTAAACAAGTCTAGTGTTAATCGACACCTAAGATAGGTCCAGTTTGTTGGAATGCAAGAAAACACCATGCAGCTTGCCCATCAAAGATTCTAAGTTTCAGTTGTTATGTTGACTAATCTCCAGGCAGCAACTATGGTAATAAGAGATTCTGTTGAACCTCTGCTTGAAGATTACAGACCACCAGGAATTACTTCTCTGAAGTTCAGCAAATTGACTCTGGGTAACGTAGCACCAAAGATTGAAGGTAAAGTATAGGAGACAACAATAACATCATCTTTTGTGATTGCTATTTTTTCTCTTCCACTTTGTTCAACCTTGCATAAGTCCTACTATGTATTTTTAATGAACTGCCTGCCAACTGAAAACTTGTCCTTGTGCTTGGAATAACATCATGCATTTGTCTTATTGGTTAGCTTTCCCGTAAGCCTTAGCTCATGCATGATTAATCGTCACTGCAGGTATTCGTGTTCAAAGTTTCAAGGAAGGTCAAGTCACAATGGATGTTGATCTTCGATGGGGTGGTGATCCAAATATCGTTTTAGGTGTTACAGCACTTGTTGCTTCCATACCCATTCAGGTTACGAGAGAGATATCGTAGTACCTCCTTTTTTGGGTTGTCTATTACTAACCTCTATTTTTTCCTTGAGTTTTGCTTCCCATTTAAGTCTGACTCTCTTTAAACACTTGTTTCTGGGTGAAACAGTTGAAGGATCTTCAAGTTTTCACAGTTGCACGTGTTATTTTTCAACTTGCGGATGAGATTCCTTGCATATCTGCAGTTGTTGTTGCTCTACTTGCCGATGTATATTTTTTTTCCTTTAAAGATCCTGAGTGAGATGCATTTTTCTTTATCACCACTCCTATCTGGCAATGACAAACTTTTTGAATGATCTCAATCAGCCAAAACCAAGAATTGATTACACTCTGAAGGCTGTTGGTGGAAGCTTGACGGCAATTCCTGGACTATCTGATATGATTGATGTAAGTTCTTCTCTTCGTAGGTGAAATATTTTCCTGAAGATATACTTGTTTTCTCATTTGGTCTAATGCACAGCTTTATGCTTCTCTTTCTGTTAGGACACTGTTGATACTATTGTCAAAGACATGCTTCAGTGGCCTCATAGAATTGTTGTTCCCATCGGTGGTATACCTGTTGATATCAGGTACTTTCCTGTCTTCTGCTTGTTTTTTTTCCTTTTTTCCTTTTTGCCATTTCTCCGCTTCTGATATAGCCATAGTATATATTACTTGGGGACGTATTGAGAAAGCATGTCATAGTGTTGACCATTCTCTCTATATTCTCTGCCTTTCACAGTGATTTAGAGCTTAAGCCACAGGGAAAGCTTATAGTAACAGTAGTGAAAGCAACTAGCTTGAAGAATAAGGAATTGATTGGAAAATCTGACCCTTATGCCACCATCTACATTCGTCCTGTATTCAAATATAAAACAAAGGCAATCGAGAACAACCTGAATCCTGTTTGGGACCAAACATTCGAATTGATTGCAGAGGACAAAGAGACCCAGTCGCTCACTATAGAGGTTTGCTATCTCAAACATTGATACTTCATTCTTGTTCCAACTTTGACATTGCAAACATTAACTGTTCACTTCGTTCTATCAAATCTTTTGACAGGTATTTGACAAAGACGTTGGCCAAGACGAGCGTCTAGGACTTGCGAAACTTCCCTTGAGCAGTTTGGAAGCCGGGGTTACAAAAGAAATGGAACTAAATCTGTTATCTTCGCTTGATACTCTGAAAGTAAAAGATAAGAAAGATAGAGGAAGTATAACCCTTAAGGTGATCTTCCCTTCCCTTGGATGAACCACAAAAAACTTTTTTCTTCTCGCTGGTTACTGAATTGACTTGTTTTATTTTCTAATTTGTCAAAGGTACATTATCATGAGTTCAACAAAGAGGAGCAAATGGCTGCATTGGAAGAGGAAAAGAAAATAATGGAGGAAAGAAAGAGACTGAAGGAAGCAGGTGTGATAGGTAGCACAATGGATGCAGTTGGGATGGTGGGAAGTGGGCTCGGTGCTGGTGTAGGAATGGTTGGGACCGGGATTGGTGCAGGAGTCGGGCTGGTTGGGACCGGAGTGAGCTCGGGCTTTGGAGTCGTCGGTAGCGGATTGAGCAAAGCAGGGAGGTTCATGGGTAGAACTATCACAGGTCAGTCCAGTAAACGTAGTGGCTCCTCCACACCTGTGAATAGCGAGAACGATGGTTCGAAACAACAGTGAGTAAACTTTGGGTTTAAGCAAGAGTTGTGATCATAGTAAACATTGTTTTACTACTACTCTCTATTCTCGCGATGCCACTTCTTTTTTACTCTTTTCGTGTTTTTCGTTTTACTTATTACCACTCTCAAATTTGCTTTCTGGATTCATTGTAGTAATTTGATTTCCTTGTGAATTTCAATTTTAAACCTTGTGCAAAAGTCGTTTTCTTTGATCGTCCCATGAAGGCATGAACAATAGACATATCAATGATTTGTTAAAGCTCATCGTATGTTCTTGCACCGCACCCAATAATACGAGAACAGAGGTGACCCTATAAACAGTAAATTAAAACAAGATATGTATGATAAGCTGGTTTAGAATGTTTATTTATTACGAAAAAGCTATGTGTCGACGTATATTTTTTTTTAAAAAACATCATCTGCTAAGTTAACTAATTTAAAAACTGATTGATTGGAAGTAAATTACTCAGTTAAGAGTAGAGATAAATAATATGTAGTGTCTTTCACTATCACGCTTACAGATATAATGTCGTTCTCGTAGCTCTCTTTGTCACATATATAATTTCAATACTAAAAATCATAGACGAAAAAATCGAGGCTCAACAAACAAAAATCCCTAACAAACACAGACGAAATCTTTCTTATCCATTTTGGACCAGTTTTCAAAGATCCATTATTGGTATCATTAAATTACTAAAATAAGTTGCTTCCAAACGATTAACGTCTCCACCTTCATTTTTTTTTTGTTAAACATCTCCACCTTACCAAAAAAAACTACGTTATGGAAATAATTTATGTTATATAGAAAAAATGGCTCTATATTAAACATATATTGTGAAGCTTTGAATGATTTGATTATTAGATAATGTATTAATAACTGTGTAGACTTGGAGCTAAATACGTGTACTTTATAAAAATCAAAACTTAATATTGAGAGACTGGGACGAGAAAACTGGATGACATATTAACACGATCATATGACTTGGATCCACGTAAGCCTAAACTGTGGGAAGTTCTAAACTGTCTACTGATTGGTTGATACGTAAGCCAAGTGGATAAAGTGTCCCGACCACAAGATCGACATGATGACGATTTTGCTTATTTTAGTTCATAAATAATTGCATTAAGAAGGAGTGGTCACATTGTGGAAATAGTATCAATGTAAGAAAGATGATTATTTAGGTCAAATTTGCTTTTGTTGATTGGCAAACTTAGGTCAAAATAGGGACATACAAATATATCTAACTAAACATATACTACTTGTTATTCACCCAATCTTATAATAAGAAAGCATGTGTTTCGATCGAAAGTATATCATTACAATAATTTTTTTTTTTATCATAACCTAACAGACTCGGTTTACAAGACTGACTTCGACTTCAATGTTTTGATGTGTAATCATTTTATCAATATTATAAAATGGTGGATTTATGATGATAATTAGTAAACCATTTGAAAAAAAAAAAACACCTCAGTAACAAATGACTAAAACCTTGGCCAGGTGTTTTTGGACACAACGCGTGTGACGCACTTTTATAACCCAAACTATTAGGCCAGGTGGCCGACTTCAGATACCTTATCCGGATCATACCCGACCCGACCCGGACCATAAAATGTATATACATCCGCAGATGTAAAAGATACGTATACTACACTTGCAGGATTATATAATTGTTAGGCTCAGGAGAATTGACCTTTGAATTTATTTCCAGAAACCATACGGTGAAATTATATAAATAAATAAAAAATCTTCTATATAAAGTTGCTTTGCGTATTTGTATTCTCTGTGTAGAAGATAATACTAACAATACTTCCTTTTTTGTTTTTTCAGTTTCTACTTTCTACCCATCGGTTGGTTAAATCCTGTCATACCAATTTGTTTCTCTATTCTCCGCGGCCATGCAATTTAAGGCTTGCGTCTGATACGGAAAGGCTCTCTATCCGTTTTGTTGTTGTGATCATGGGCGCGAATATCTCAGGTGGTTTGCCGGAGTTTGACCGGAACGGTGAAGGCTACTCGAGGAAACCCAGATTGGTGGATTTACCGGAGAACTGTGTAGCGTTGATTATGATGCGGCTTGATCCACCGGAGATTTGCCGTCTCGCTCGTCTCAACAGGGTTTTCCGTCGCGCATCGTCTGCTGATTTCATATGGGAAGCGAAGCTTCCACCGAATTATCTGGTTATTGCACGGAAAGTGTTTGATGAGATCGCTCTGAGGAAAATGATTAAGAAAGATGTTTATTCCAAGCTTACCCGGCCCAATCTCTTCGACGGTGGCACAAAGGTTTGAAATTTTAAATCACTCTTATCTTTCTCTCTCTCTCAAAATCTCAAAAAGTTCTTATTTTTCAAACTTTGTATGCTTGAGCAGGAGTTGTGGATAGATAAGAACACGGGTCGTCTTTGTGTATCGATTTCTTCAAAAGCACTAAGAATCACTGGAATCGATGATCGGAGATACTGGAGTCATATCCCTACCGATGATTCCAGGTAATTCCAACTTTACCATTAAGAAAGAAGTTTTTTTTTGTTGTTGGTGATGATGAAATTTCATCGTTGATGAGTAAACCTGTTCCACATATGTTGTATATGCAGGTTCCACTCGGTTGCATATGTTCAACAGATATGGTGGTTTGAGGTAGGAGGAGAGCTCGAGATCCAGTTTCCGGCTGGAACATACAGTCTCTTCTTCCGTGTCCAGCTCGGGAAAACGTCCAAGCGACTTGGACGCAGAATCTGCAACTCTGAACACGTTCACGGATGGGACATCAAGCCTGTTAGGTTCCAGCTTGCAACTTCAGACAACCAACAAGCTGTTTCGCTCTGTCATCTAGACAACAACCCTGGAATCTGGAGTCACTATCACGTCGGAGATTTCAAGGTGGTGAATCGAGATTTGTTAACAGGAATCAAATTCTCCATGACTCAAATCGATTGCACCCACACGAAAGGTGGGCTATGTATAGACTCTGTTCTTATATTACCTAAAGAAAGTGCACAAGAGCCCATTGGATCAAAATAGTTTTGTTTATTATAGAGAGAGATTGTTGTTGTCACTTGTAAATGGGGAGAGAATCTTGTTTTGTAAATGTTTCAACACTATACTGGCTCATCTGAGTTGCATTCTCAGGATCTGGAACTTGTGTATTCATGGTTGGCTTGTCTCTAGTTTTGTCTGTAGTTACAAGATGGTCGTGATTGTAAATACAATTTTTCACCATGTAGAGAGCTTACACAACATTTGTTATTGCAGAAACAGAGCCTTGTGCAAAATGAGAAACAATCACAAACTTTTAATCAATAATAGTGAGCAAGTATCATATTGAATCTTATTATAAGAGTTTTTTTTTTTATTATTCCTGCATAGATAAGAGCAGCAAATTCATTCAAAGGAGCAAACAGAGACTCCTGAGATCACCTGAACGCAGCAGGTTTACTAATGAATATGAAACGATTATTCTGAAAGGCCTAAAGAAACAAGCTTCTTCCTGCTTCAAGGTGTCTTGAGCTTGGGGCGCGACGGAAGCAGCTGTGTGGTTACAGAAGGAAAAAAAATGGAGAATTTTTTTTAGAAACCAGTCGAAAGATGTGAACTTGGAAGTGGGTATGTGGAAAGGAAAAGAGGCTTTTACCTGATAACAAGAGATAAGCGAGGTGGTAAACCCGAGAGCGCCAGTGACACGAGGAGTAACCGTCTTTGGAGCTAACTGAAGCAGACCAACGGCTACAACAATGTCAATGCTAGACTTAATCAAAGCTAGAGTTCTGTCGTTTGATTTCTGAAGCTTAGCACGATACAGCTCATCCTGCGTTTTTCACAAAAGGGAATGAGTTTTTATAAGCAAAGGTTAAGATAGTTTACAGAGGAGAGTTTATTTACATGATGCTTTTCATCATCTTTGAGTTCCTTTTCCATCTTCTTCAAAGATGAAGAGAGCCTTCCAAGCTCACCAATCTGATACACACGAAAAGACCAAGATCAGAAGTTAATGTTCATACGTGAGGCAAATCAAAACTGTCAAGAGAGAGAGAGAGGAGAGACAAAAAAAACCTCCACTGCTGATGTACAAATGGATGATCCCAACCAGCAGAACAGTGATATACGGCCAATCAATTCAGTTCTCTCTTTGTTCTGCGATGAGATTGAATAAGAATCTTTAGTCACTTTAGCAGAGCAAACGAAACATCAAAACTTCAATAGACCAATATGGGATTGTTTGCCTTAAAGCGTCTCTCACCTTATATATGCCGGATCTACCAAGCCAAACGATTTGATCAAGAAACAAGAAGGTAGACAAGAGCGCATTCTTGGACTGAAACAGTCAACCAAACAAACAGAAACAAAGAGTTAAAGATTGAAAACAAGACAGGATATGATGAACAAAAATGTTGTAAGATCTCTTTGGGCACCTTCCCGAGTAAGACAAGAGGAAGAGGAGTCCCTTTAGGCACGGGGCTGATAAGACCATGGAAATCATTGACAAACTGCAGAGTGAAGCCGTGTTCTTTCTCATCAGAAATCAAAACAGACAACGAAGCCAAAAAACAAAGAATAAAAGACAGAAATCGGGACAATCATGGTTTTGACCTTGAAAAGACGGAAAACTTTTCGAGCCAAGCTGGTGTTTTTGTCAACAGTTTGAGCAGTACCAGGTTGCCCTCCGCTCAAGAATTTGGAACCATACTGTATAGCTCTGCATATCTTGTCTCTAGCCTCAGCTTTGTTCAAGTAGAGCACTATAAGAGCAAGCTCGGCTCTGGACAAATCTAATGTAGTCATCTTCTCTCTCTGCAAGAAAAAAAAAACCAAACCTAAGAATAAGATTCAATAAACAAAACTCAGCAACAGATTCCAGAAAACGTTAGAGAGCTACAGAAAGATTCACTCTTTGAAATTCTCGCAACGCAGAAACTTTCAAGGCCACGTTTTGACTGATGAGAAACGCACAAAAAAATTCAAGCGAGGAGATTAAATGTTAAGTGGTTGTGTCCTATCCTTATAAACAGAGAAATATCCAGGTGTAGCTCAATACAGAAACAGAAGATATATTCTATAAGCAAATGCAATCGGATATTTGAGGAATAAAGGAGGATGATTCTGTATCGTTAACATTGATTTCATCAGCAACCTCAAAAAAAGACGAAACACAGCAATACCAATAACGTCAAACCTAAGGCATGTGAAGCTTCAAAATTCAAATCATTCGAATATTATAAAAAAAAATCCAGAAATTGGGATTCCAAATTACCTTGATGGTCTCTATTAGGAGAAATTCGGCCTAACAAACCCAGAAAGATTAGATAGAAATAGATAAAAAAAAAAAAAAATCAAAAATTTAAAGAAAGGGGCATCCGAGATTCAGTGCCTGAGTTTTTTAGAACCTCGTATATGTGAGAGCTGTTCTTACTTATAATGTCATTTTCTTTCTTCGTTTTTATGATAAAAAGGCGTGTTTTCTTTAGAGAACACACAGAACGCACCGTTTCAATCAACGATCTAACCTCCTGATCGCTTCACTTCTGACCGTCGATTTGTCGAGATTAAAAAAAATTGTTGGACCCACATCGTGTTAAACGTTCCGTGTACACCACACTCCTAGTGCACTTGATTCTATCCCACATCATCTGTTTAGATATACGCGCGTGCGACACACGAGGCACACCTATCGAGGAAGGGAGAAAAATACCGAAACGCACCGGTTTTGTAACGTTAATGGGCCAGGCTTTAAGAAGCCTTACTATCATTAGTGACCAAGATAGCCTTGGATCCAAACAGTCCTCGAGTAAGCTAGTAAATCGAATAACGGCTACATGAAGAATACCAAATCAGCCGGAAAAGAAAATGGCGGTGGCTTCTCTTAATAATATCTGGTTTTTCTAGTCGAGTATTCTCCGCCGAGAATCCAAGTAGATGAATAGAAGACGATCACTCGAGTTTTAAAACGGCAGGTAGTTATAAACGGGAAGTCTAAAAAAGACAAACGACACAACGTGTAATATCGAAGAGATCACAAAGGAGAAATCAGACTCAACGGTCTTTTTTTCTACCGATTAGCAACAAGAAGAAGAGAGATAAAATTTTGAAATCCGCTCTCCCTTCAGATCCCATAATCACAGAGACTCATCAATCGATCTTTCCAGAAACAAATTTCGCAACTTTCTCTAAGAAAAACTCTCTGGTCAATTTCAGCAATCACCATGTCAAACCAACCTGAATCTTCCGACTCGTAAGTGCCAAGATCTCCGATTTTCGTTTTCCGATCATAAAGTTTCGATCTTTTTATCCGGGGTATTTGATCAGGGTTTTAAAGTTGATTTCTTCTTTAAACTGCTGAGTTTTGTTAATTCTCTCTTGTTTGTTTCAGTAAATCGAAGAAGGAAGAAGTCTCCGAACCGACTTGTTGTCGACGAAACCATTAATAATGACATCTCTGTCTTTCTCTTCATCCTCATCAAGGTTTAGTTTTTACTCTGCTTTTTTCTATACATTTTAAGTTTTGTATTGCTGGAATCGGAAATCTCTGGTTTTAGTACTGGTAGTGCTATGCTAGAAGAGTGAATGGCTGAATGTTGGTTTTGATTGACGGTTGTTACCAAAATAGTCCGATGGATTCTTACGTGATTGTACTTTTCTCTCTTGTTTATAATTTAGTCTTAGTGATTCTTAGCCGTGATATTCATGTTCCAGGGTTTTGCTGCTCCAAAAGAAGCCACAGAGTAAAGCTGCAGAGTTCAATTTTAACGGAGCCCATTGGAACTTGAAAAGATGGCAAACAGATGTTTTTCAGGGACATCTGGATTCTGGCCCTCTAACAAAAAAGTTACCGAGATAAATAGATGCTGCAATACATAAAAAGGTAAGAGATGTTGTGATTGGAAGGGATGTCAAATTCTCTGTTTCGTGTTTTCAGGTTGTGCAAGCTAGTGTTCTTCCTGAAATGTTCAAAACTACATATTGTATGAAGCAATCACCAAAGGGAATTCCATCTGGCATGACCATGTGTGAAAGATGCTTACTGTTTGCTCAGTTTCGGAGACAGTATTACGACTGATCACATCTCACCAGGACAGTCCCGCGGCTAAGTACTTGATGGAGCTTGGTGTGTATAGAAGAGACTTCAACTCTTACGGGAATCGTCGTGGTAATGATGAGATTATAGCGAGAGGAACTTTCGTCAACAAGCACTTGAAAGGAGAAGTTGGTCCCAAACACTTCACATTCCCAGTGGAGAGAAGCTTTCTGTTTTCGATGCTGCCATGGTATATCCCACACTCTTTCTTCATCTTTTCTTAAACCTTAAAATGAGTCTCTCTAGTTTGGTCTATCAGAAATAGAACAACTGTTTCGTAGCTTTGCTCTTATCAAATTATTCCCTTGTTGCGTTTTACCAGATATACAGGAACGAGGAACGAGACATGTCTCATTTTGGCTGGTGCTGAGTATGGAAGGTGCAAGTTCTCGTGATTGGGCTGCTAAGGGTCCAATACTTCTGGTACATTTTTAGCTTTATATGCTTTGGTCTCGTATTTGAAAAACACAATCATTTACATAAATATGCTGTTTCTGAAAATCGTTACGACAGGGAGTGAAAGCTGTGATCTCGAAGAGCTTTGAGCGAATTCACCGAAGCAATCTGGTGGGAATGGGAATCATACCTTTGTGCTTCAAGACAGGAGAAGATGCTGAGACCTTTAGGGTTAATGGGTCAGGAGCTTTACACCAATGAGTTCCCAAACAATGTTAGTGAGATCAAACCAGGACAAGATGTAACGGTCATCACATACAATGGCAAATCTTTCACTTGTACACTCCGATTTGACACTGAGGTACAATAAGAAAATCAGGGCCATCTCTCGATGATTTTACTTTCGCTTCTTTTTCATCTTGATTTTGTTAGCTATAGAAACCGGACTGATAAAAGAGGAAATTTAAAATGGCAGGTGGAGTTGGTTGTACTCACTAAGCAAGAGATGTCAAACTCAGAAAAAAAAAAGATATATTTTTAATTCTTTTTTTAATTATTTATATGCATTAAAATTTAAATTAATTTAAAAATCGATTAGATTTACATTAGCTCTGTGAAAACTAACCAGACATGGTATCCAGCCATTTAAATTCATTTGGTCGTTAGAAATTGCCTATGTCCAATTTGTATTCACGACTAATACAGATTAATCGATTTTTTTATTAGGAAAGAAAATGCTAATAATAATAATTGCAACACTAAATAAAATTTGAATCTAACCCTATGTTGTTTTTTTATTGTTTTAGGTTAAAGCTTTTTTTACAAAATAAGATTCAGGAAGCAAGAGATACCGACAGAAAAAAACTTAAAAAAATAGATATGTATTTTATCTTTTAATTTTTTTTGTATTTATCCACATTAAATTTTGAATTAGTTTAAAATCGATTAGATTTACATTAGTTGTGAAACTAACCAGACATGGTATCCAGCCATTTGAATTTATTTGGTCGTTAGAGATTGCCTATGTCTAATTTGTATCCACGACTAATGTAGATTAATCGATTTTATTAGGAAAGAAAATGCTAATAATAATAATTGCAACACCAAATAAGATTTGCTATCCAACTCTATGTTGTTTTTGTATTGTTTTAGGTTAAAGCTTTTTTTACAAAATAAAATTCAGGAAGCAAGAAATACCGACAGAAGAAAACTTAAGAAAATAGATATGTATTATATCCTTTAATTTTTTTGTATTTATCCACATTAAATTTTGAATTAGTCTAAAATCGATTAGATTTACATTAGTTGTAAAACTAACCAGACATGGTATCCAGCCATTTAAATTCATTTGGTCGTTAGAAATTGCCTATATCTAATTTGTATCCACGACTAATGTAGATTAATCGATTTTATTAGGAAAGAAAATGCTAATAATAATAATTGCAACACTAAATAAGATTTGAATCTAATCCAGTATTATTTTTGTATTGTTTTAGGTTAAAGTTTTTTTACAAAATAAAATTCAGGAAGCAAGAGATAACGAGAGAGGGAAACTTAAGAAAAAGGATAAGTATTCTATTCATTATTTTTTTTTTGTATTCATCCGTATTAAAATTTGAATTAGTTTAAAACTGATTAAATTTATATTAGCTGTGAAACTAACCAGACATGGTATCCAACTATTTGAATTCATTTGATCATTAGAAATTGTTTATGTTCAATTTGTTTTTACAGCTAATGTTGATCAATCAGTTTTTTATGAAGTTTGAATCTAATTTGATTTGGAATTTGATGTTTTTTTCTAATTGTTTCAGTTTAAAAAAATTTCACCAAACACATCATGCAAAGAGAAAAAACTGATTGTTTCAGTTTAAAAAAATTTCAACAAACACATCAATTTGTTTTTACAGCTAATGTAGATCAATCAGTTTTTTATTAAGTTTGAATTTAATCTGATTTGGAATTTGATGTTTTTTTTTAATTGTTTCAGTTTAAAAATTTTCAACAAACACATCATGCAAAGAAAAAAAAACTAGTTTTGTAGTTAACTGTAATTTTCTGATTTTTGGCAGAAAAATATATTTTTGCGATTTTAACTGTAAAATGTAATTTTGTTTTTTTGACGGAAAAAGATAATTTTGATTTTGATGAAGGGAGAAAAATCAGACGAAACGCACCGGTTTGGCAAAGTTAATGGGCCATCATTTTTAACTTGGTTAGTGACGAAGATAGCCTTGGATCCAAACAGTCCTCGAGTAAGCTAGTCAATCGAATAACGGCCACATGAAGAATGCCACCATAAGCCGGAGAAGAAAATGGCGGTGGCTTCACTTAGTATATGCTTCTCTGCTCGGCCGAATTCTCTTCTTTACAGTTTCTCTCGACCCAGACATTTTGCTTGTAAGTTTGTCTTTAACATATGTTGTGTGTTTATATTAGTGTCGGATGAAACATGTTGATATCATTTATGGAGGCAAAATTACGAATTCTGGATTTCTCTGCTGGAAAAAATTTGTTAAATTTCATTCTAATCACTTGATGGGTTTTGTGTATTTTTTAAGAAATCGATCAATACTGTGTTCTTGCTATTTGAATTGATTGCGGATACTTTGTTAGTGGCTGCAATGAGTGAGGATCCGATTCGTGAATGGATACTTACAGAAGGAAAAGCGACTCAAATCACAAAGATTACTTCTGTTGGCGGTGGATGCATCAATCTTGCAACCCATTATCATACTGATGCTGCTTCTTTTTTCGTTAAAACAAACAGGTAAAAAAGAAATGCCTTTATATATTTCTTCTGAGACATATACAATCAGACTTTTAATGTTTTTCTTTTTTGGTATAAACTGCTTTAGGAGTATTGGACCTGCGATGTTTGAAGGAGAGGCTCTTGGTCTTGAGGCTATGTTTGAAACCAGAACAATCCGTGTGCCTAAGCCACATAAAGCAAGTGAAAAGCTTTTTTTTCTTTATCTTTACTGGTCTTTTGAAGTCTAAACACTGATTCTTGTTTAAACATGTCAACAGGTTGGGGCATTGCCAACAGGTGGATCTTATATCATCATGGAATATATAGAGTTTGGGTCATCAAAAGGCAAGCAGGTGATTAAGTGATGAATCAAACTCTGAGCCAAAAGTTTAGATTTTCACGGTTGTTTAGTCATTAGGCTGAATTAGGAAGGAAGCTAGCAGAGATGCATATAGCGGGCAAATCTTCGAAAGGCTTTGGCTTTGAGGTTGACAACACTATTGGCAGGTGGAACAAAGAATTCCATTTATGAAATTATCTTCTCTTTCTCTCTTTTGAGTTTCTGTTTTCATGAACTTAGGCGAAACACCATTCCTGTTTTAGTACCCCACAGATCAATAAGTGGTCATCGGATTGGATTAGATTCTATGGTGAGAAGAGATTAGGTTACCAGCTAAAGCTAGCTAGGGATCAGTACGGTGACTCTGCAATTTACCAGAAAGGTTTTTTATTCTTTCTCTCTTACCTATCTTTGTTAACTTGGTGAGAAGAGATTGGTTTGGTAACATTTGAAGCAAAACTGTGAACAGGGCATACACTGATACAGAACATGGCATCTCTCTTTGAGAATGTTGTCATAGAACCGTGCTTGTTACATGGTGATCTCTGGAGCGGGAACATCGCGTACGACAAGAACAGCGAGCCTGTCATTCTTGATCCTGCCTGTTACTGTATAAGGCTTTTTCATTCATAAAGTTTTCTTTATATATTTACCATTTGTTGAAGCACGTTTTTTTTATCTCATTCCTCCATAGATGGGCATAACGAGGCGGATTTTGGAATGTCGTGGTGCGCAGGATTTGGAGAATCTTTCTACAATGCCTATTTCAAGGTTCCAACACACAATCTTCCTTTGATCTCAGTTTCTGTATCAACTAAAACCACTTTGTTTATATCACACAGCTGTTGTTTTGATTCTTTGACTTTTTCAAGGTAATGCCAAAACAACCTGGATTTGACAAGAGGAGGGATCTGTATTTGCTATATCACTACCTGAATCATTACAACCTCTTTGGGTCGGGATATCGATCATCTGCAATGTCGATCATTGATGATTATCTACGGATGCTCAAAGCTTAACATGGACAAGCTGCCTCGGGGCTCTCTTTTGTGTGTCTATATATTTGTGTGTGTTGTGGTGTGTATGTAGGTTTGTACAAGCATATATTCGAAAGTTATTTAAATCTTGAAAACTAATCATATTTTATGTAATTCTGAAGACTTGGAGAATTTTTTGGAGGAACAACTTAGAGAATTCAGATGCTAACTAAATAACTAATGTACCAACTTGTTTTTGAGTGACAGTGTGCTTACAGCTTACTTACTAGAGAGAGAGAGAGAGAGAGAGAGAGAGAGAGAGAGAGAGAGAGTTGGGAGATTAATGATGGTCGTGAGAAGGGTCTTTGGGGATGACAATGGGATCTCCTCCAGCAGCTAGGGTTTCCCAAAGCCACTCTGCACTTGCGGTGTTAACTCTGCACTTGCGACATCTTCTTGGTGTCATTCGAGGCTGTGCTAGTAGAATTCTCTGACCAATCTCTGCCAAACCATCGAGACAAGAGGCGAATTCCGAGGTGTCATGTGAGATTACCATCAGATTTGACGATCCAGCTCCACGGTTTTGCCTTACCCAGCTAAAAAAGTCATTCATCATTCCTAGAAGCCTCGCACGTTTATCTCCTGAAACCATACATGCATATCATCAACAGACATACGAGTTAGAAGAGAAAACTAGTGTTAAAACCACAGAGTTGGTTTGGTTATAACTTATAATAAGTGAGTGGAATATATTCACCTGCGCGTACGAGCTCGATTCCGGCCGATTCGAAGTAACCAGGGATCTGATTCTTGTCACCGAAAGCACAGATTGTCACCTCGCCACCATAACCATTGTTTGCGAGAGCTGATTTGATATTCCGGTAAACCGAACCAGGATCCAGACCTTCAGGGATTGGGCAATCCTCCATGTCCCAGAAGACACCTGTCTTGGCCTCTGCCATGTTTTTTTTCCACAAAACGGCAAACGCATTACCACTCAGATTAGCTCCATTTTAATCTGATATAATATTAAGATTTTAACCATAATACAACGCTACCACATGGTCAAATGTACAACCGGTAATTAAAAGCAGACCCTTTACAACAAAAACAAGCGAATCTTCAAACAGAGTAAACACTTCTCTCAGATAAAAAAAAATCTGATAGTTATATTTTCTATTTTTTAAACATGATTAGTTTATTTATATTCGCTTCGCTTTCAGCATGTGCATAATTTATTGTATAAAATTAAGACTATATTTTTTCCTTCCATGTGCTCTTTTTTCTTGTTTTCTATTTGTAATTTTGATACTCGTTCGTTCCTATTTGAGAATTTGTATTCCGATATTATAGGCAAACAGTTTTAAGCAATAAATTGAGAGACGAGAGAGCTCTTACCAGCGTTGTTGCTTGTGGTCGAGGAAGACATTGCTTCGGCGGAGATCGAGGACATTAGAGAGACTGATACTTCTTCCTCTTCAACGAAAACAGTAAAATTAGGGCCAGACCATAGGCCACGGGTGAGAGAATATTTATTTGCTGTAAAAGAAGTGTTTTCGTTTTTACAAGTTTGGGCTAGTAGAGCAATGGGCTATGGTTGGGCTCAAAATCACCGTCTTTCAATATTATAAATGGCACAAATTATTGTACATCGAAGTTGATATGGCCGAGTTGGTCTAAGGCGCCAGATTAAGGTTCTGGTCCGAAAGGGCGTGGGTTCAAATCCCACTGTCAACATTCAATTTTTTTCTTTTTTTGCAAAGAACACACCTTCAAGTTTATCAATTTCTTCAAAAATCACGTACACATGTAAGTCAAATTTTAAAAATGTTAGGTCAAGTTATATATCTAGAAGAAAATTTGATCAAAACAGGCGATGATAATAAATAAATACACGAATTACAACAAACTTAATAAAACTAACATGGCAACTCCGATAATAAATGTCTAGACATAAACCAAAAGGTTAATCTTCACAAAGTGTGAGTTAAAAATAATGTAGTCAAAAGTCGTTATTCAAAGTGTGAGTTAAAAATAATGTATTCAACACGGTACGAAATGAACTGAACAAAAATAAGTTTACAGATTTCGTTATTAATTTTTAGCTGAATTTTAATGGTAAGAGAAATACTAAAACCATGCAAGTGTTACAATCCGGAGATCTTTAATTAATGAGAGTTTATGTATGCGAACTCAAATATAATTCTACCGAGTAACTATCATCCTTTTACTGTTTCATAAAACCTCAAGATTATCTGATACACTGCTAAAGCGATTAATTTTCTTCAACATTATTAGCACCTTCACTGTGATTCAGTGGCAAACCACAAGCGAAGGAACCGTCTTTTATGCTCATGTTATAAAATACTTTAAAATCCAAACTACTTTAAAATCAAGACATAAACATAGTAATAATAAGCTTAAAATCCAAACATCAACAAAGGTTTATTCTAACCTCCAACGAGTTGCATTTAAAACAGACAACAAAAATTCATAACGCCCAAAAACAAAAAAAAAAGAACGAAACCGGTCTTGGTGATCGCTTCAAATCAATCTCACTTTTTCCTGAAAGAGCATCCTTCGGTGAGCTTAGCCTTTCCTCCTGTAGGCTGGCACAGAACTGTCTGGCAGTTTCCGCATACCACAACGGTCTGCGAGTGACTGAAAACGGTAGTACTGCAATAACAAAACAGGCCCCATAAGTTAATGTTTCGTCATCTATATGTATAACATGTCACAAGGGAAATGATTGAATTATTGTTTAGAGATCTTACATGTTGAAGCAGCCTTGGCACTTCACATCCTACAATAAGGTTGACAAACACCAAAGAAACACTAATCAGCGTCCGCATAGAATAGATAAACTTCAAGAGTAAATGAGAGACTTGAATTTCATATTGTATTTCACATTATTAAACTGAAATAATTGATTTTTATGAGGGTACCAAATCATTAGACCACATTATCGTTGATCGAGCAACAAAAACAAAGATCACACAGTAGATCAAATTCACAGGTTCATGAGAAATTAAATTCACAATACTCAATTTACAAATCTAAACAGAGAGATGAGCTTTCAAATAGGAATATGAGTCGAGTTCATTACCAATTTACAAATGGTTAAACAGCAAAAAAATTCTTAATTCAGACTACATATAAGTATACAGATCTTCAAACACCAGGTTAGAATCCATGATGAAATCAAATTCACAAATTCGAAATTAACAATTCAAAAACAAAGAGCTTTCTAAAGGTTTCGAATTAGTACCATGAAGAAGGAATTGGGGGTCTGAACAAGACGCTTGAGCTTGTGCTTCCTCTTCTCAAGCTCTGCTGGTGGGTTAAGCAGATCGATATCGTTTTGGAGAACCTGCATCGTATCAAGAGATTAGATTCCAGAAAGAAATCAAAACTAGCTTAGCTCAGATCAATCAAAACAAGATTAATAACCTAAGAATTTCCAATAACCTACGCGATGGAAGAAGAGATCAAACAATCATTTACACACTAGCGAGAAACTTATATACTCGTGAGACTAGAAATTTCACTAACGGATCTACGTTTCTACGACAAAATGAAATCAGGAAATGGAATGGAGAGCGAGAACAAACCATCTTCGCAAAAAATCTGAAGAGACGGCAAAGACAGCAGCAACGGCAACAATAGACGAGAGAGATAACTAGGGCTTCTACACAGCCCTTATATACAGACTCGACAATCTGACCTTACTTAGCTTTCCGGACCTTCGAAACGAATTAGAGGGTTACGTTTTTTTTTTTTTTTGACAAAGAGGTGTGAAAAATAGAGAAATAAGTATATTTTTTTATAGCAAAATATTTATTTTTTCAACATGTTTTTTTCCAGATATTATTTTAGTTAATCCTTAAATAAAAACAAAATATTGACAAATTTGTATTGTTTGTCCTTATATTGTCTCCAAATTGCATTGTTTGGTCTTATATACTTGTCTCCAAACATTTTTGAGATTTTCGACGATACAATTATATCCGAAGGCAGAATGCGCTTAAAGCAACCATGTGGTGTTTGTGATTCTAATCGCATAGATTCATAAGATCAGATTTCGGCTACAAATTCATAGCCGTGAAAGATAATTAAAAAAAAGAAGTCAAGCTTACAATATTTGTTTGATTCATATTGGAGAAGTTGATGTTAACTTTATGTTCTAAACCTCCATTGGAGATTAAGAAGCACATATTTCATGTTGAACATCTTCACATCAATCATCCACACTTTGATACGAATCTCATATATAACAAGTTGATATTGACTAGAAACTTATCACATTCTGATGATTCATGAGATGAGATGGCCGGAATGTAAAAATCCCTTAGCCCAATTTTACTGGACCTTACCCTGAAGATTTATCACTATTGGAGATAGAACTATTGAACAAGATCCACCTACGTGTCGCCATAGGAACCGTAGATTTATTACCATCGAAGATTCACAGTTAAGTAATATAATTATCATCGACACCTTACTATATTAAGGTGGAATGTTACATTTAACATTTTCTTTCTCTCGTATGTGCATACGCAGTTAAAACGATCCACTCATCCTCATCTCCACCGTCCGTTTTCATCCGTGATCAATCAATGGGGAAGATTCGAAAGCAAGAAATCGGAAAAGATGAAGACATGATAATCAGAACTGTCGATCTTAGCATCGACGGTGTTAGAAGCGTGGACCCCATTGGCCTCAAGCCCAAAGACCAAGAGACCAGCCACGAGGCGAAGAAGTTCAAGCCACCACTAGGACCCAAAAGAGCGTCGACTAAGGACCGTTACGTCAAAGTAGAAGGACGCGGAAGAAGGAAACGTATGCCCGCCACGTGTGCGGCTAGGATGTTCCAGCTAACTCGAGAGCTTGGACACAAATCGGACGGAGAGACGATCAGGCGGTTGCTGGAGCAGGCTGAGTCTGCAACCATCGCCGCTACAGGGACCGGAACCGTTCCTAAAATCGCTTTGTCCTTTAACACGGAGTCGGACACGGTTGAGAATCCGCCGAAGAGAAAACGGAAACGACCGTGTAACAGTGAGTATATGGACTTAAGCGACCCCGTACGTTTCAGTTTCAAACGGCTTAGCGGCTCCTTCGCTAGCTTCCGTCTTCGGCTATACCGCCAGGGATGATTCCGGTGTGGGCCATTCCATCAAACGCCGTGATTACGACGGCCGGAGGAGCTTACTTAATGGTGCACATGATACGTATTACTCAATCAACGTAGGCGGAGACTACTTTTCGTAAACGATGCACATGATATTGCCACGTGTAATAAGCTGATTGGAGTTTTAAAATAGATTATGGGGTCCACGCATTATGTATTTATAGGTCAACAGTACTCGTAGTCGTACTTAAACGGAAAAGCAGAGAGATAGATAACTCACGAGTCACGATGACTCGTGATACTGTGAGTCCACATTCCACACCATACCGTACATATTTCTAATAACGTTGCCCGGTCACTGTGGTCCCCCCCACAGGCAAAATTCGACACGTGTCTTGTGGAATCCATTTTGTCGAATCCTTTTGTTCTTTGCTAAAAAAAGCCTTTCATTATGTGATCCACCATTTGGTGTGAAGTGTTATGGTAAGTAGTGGGACAGACCCAACAACAACTGTATTCATTTACTTTGAAGGCTAAATAAGGTTGTCGTTTTTATTGGCAGTAAAGTGTAGCTGGCTCGTTTCGTGTCGCAGTTTCTTAAAGATACTACAGTCCCATGATCTGCGAGAATGCTCGCACGTGAGAAAGTAAAATCGCATTTTCTTATAAAACGTGGAAAAAAAAATTGATTACCGAATGGAAAGGTAACCAAAGCATAGGAACGTGGCTCACGCCTTAGCCAATCGTCAGATAAATAAATTATATGTCCAAGATGCTAAGTCAGTAATAAGAGGTCCCATAATAAGAAAAAGAAAACAAATAAGACAGTAATCGTGAAACATAAGATGTAGCCGTATCGCCTGACCGATCCGTCGTGACTTCTACATTAGTCAATACCAAGTTGTGGAACTCATCATCCTTGGACAAAGTTGGTTTCATGGTCACGTCCCACATTACTCGTTACTACCAAAGATCCGCCACCTTGCTCGTATTGTTGTTGAAACCTAATTATACTTCCCATAATCAATCTTGATTATAAAACCAATAATTTATATTATACCGTCAGAAAATTTGAAATATTGATTACCCGAATTGTAAGAAGTTTCCAACGTTGCAATCCATAGAGTTATGGTGAGAGGACTGCAAGGTAAAATCAGTGGAACCAGCTGCTGCAGCCGAACATAGCAATAGGTCTTGAAAGCCTTTGAAACCATGACCTTCTGTCTCAATCTGATTATGAACATTCATCTATTTTGATTAGATTCACGAGTCTCCAGTTGTAGCCAAAGCATTAATTAACACGAAAATAAATAACTGTAAGAGATAATATGGAGGTGTAAATATAAAAAGAATTAACCTTCAGCTTCTTGTTTATATCTCCGAGCTGCCTCTCCTGCAATTTATAAGTCAAATCATTATATAGTACTAATGCATACATACAAATATAATATATATATATATATATATTATGCTATTAATACAACGACTTGACACTTGCCTTTCTCCGAAGCTCTTCCATTTCTTCAGTAATAACCTGTGTCTGCAGATATATATACATACATGCATTTTTATATATGTATATCTAAATGATTACAACGAAATAAGATTGGTCGATATATACAAAATGGCGTACCTTGCGTTGTCTGGTCGCGAAAAGAGCTCCTTCAAGCTCTCTCTCGAGCGTCTGCAATTCTTTTACACTCTTATCTTCAAGATCTTCCCCAAGCAAATACCTTTTTTTTTTATCTCAGCCATTCAAAGAATTTAGTAATTGGGGAATACTAGCTAGAAGATGTACAATATCTAGGTACAAATGATTTAAGAGACCGAGATATGATAAATTTAACCTATGAGTGCGAAGAAGAGATTCATATTTGGATTTGAGGTTTATCAAATCTTGACACCAGCTCTGCACCAAGGAAATGAAGATTATTATAATTTATCTTAGCTCCTAATGACGAAGAAGAAAGATTTGGGCCGTGTAGACTTGGATGAAGAAGAAAAATTAATTGACCTGTGTAGACTTATCAAGCCTATTATTGTCCAAAATGTTCTTACAGCGATAATACCTTTCAATGGTTTTGTCAATCCTACAGATTATAAATGGGAAAGAAAAAAACACAAGAGATCATCAATTGGATAGCTAAATTATAAATGTACAACTAACAAGGCTATAATTTGATAAAATTCAATTTAGAAGAAAGAAACCTCAAAATCTCTTCATGTCTAAAGAAAACCATAATTACACAAAACTTAATGGATCTGTCATTTCTAATTTCTAAAGCAAAAATATGTGGAAACCAAATGTATTCATAATCTATGTAATATAACCTAAGAACATATGTTTCCCCATAAATTTCAACGAATAGGAATAACAAAGGTTATAACCATATGTTCGTAATGGGGATCTACGAGACGAGATCGATCCATGATGAACCCTAATTACTTTCTTTAGACTATAATTACAACCTTTTAAACCCTAATATGAAAAATATATTAAACAATGAAATCTTCTTAGGAAGATTGACTAGATCTGAAGGCTAAAGCTGACTCATGCGTTTGATGGATCCGATAAGTCGATCAGTGATGAAACTTAATTATTTAGGATAACAAAGAAAGACAAAACCTTTTAAAACACCCACAAGTCATAATGGTTTCTTGAATCTCAAACACAAATCAAACCTCTTTTATATTAATAAATCGTTAATTTTTGTTTTTTTCTTAATAGAACCCCTAATGAAGTATCTTGATTAAATGAGTATATATTTACGTACGTGGCACTGCCGAACTCATAGAGCTTGTCACTGCTGGAGAAGATGATAAGAGCAACCTCTGCATCACATAGAACAGAGAGTTCGTAGGCTTTCTTGAGCAAACCGCGTTTTCTTTTGGAGAAGGTTACTTGTCTACTGATCTTGCTCTCTATTCTCTTCACTTCCACTTTCCCTCTTCCCATTTCTTCCCCCTTTCTCCTCTCTCTCTTCTTTCTACGTTTCTTGACTAAACCCCTCTCCAGATTTGGAGATTTACATGTGTATTAATAAAGATGGATCCACACTTTAATTCTAGTGGATGGCGAGACGTAGCGTATCTGTTAACCCTTTTAATTTACAATTTTGTTTTCCAAATTATATAAACCGCGTACATAGCGACAAGCGTGTTTGTTTTCAATTTTTTTTTTTTTTTTAATTCCAAATACGTCGTATTACGAAGTTCTTTAAATACCATGCAAGATGAATTCTTTAATCATTTTTCCGTTTACCATTTAAATAGTATTTATCAGAAAAAGGAGTTTCAAATAGTTATTGATCCAAATAAATTATTTGGTCATTTGGTTAAATATAAAATTTGAACAATATGAACAAAAATATAAGATTCTATTAATGGACATGGTTAGAAATACCTAGGAATGGAAATTTGCAGGTAACAGTAGGACCACTGGAAAAATCATCATTGCTTTTAGTAATTACCGTAGTTGGTTTATCAATTTATTAATTCGTGTATTTTATGATTTCGTCAAGGTTTGTGTGCAAGGTAAATTAAACACAATTGTATTTCAATTATATAGGTTGCTGAACCGATGTGGAATGAATATAACATGTAATAATTAATGATAACGTGTCTTAATTAAATACCGGATTTATCTTGGAAGAGTCCCTTTAGAGAAAACATATAATTGTGTGTTGTGATGTTAATTTTACTTTTGTAGGAACCTCATGTTTTGTGAAGGGATTGTATAGTCATCACATACATGTAAGTTGATTTATCACAAACCATAGTGTATTTATAGAAATATCCTTTCTTTTTGACGAAAATTAGAAAGAAATGACTTTTTTAATCAAATTTTGATATATGTCATATTATTCATATACTGTATGCCATTTACATCAGAAATTGACTTTCGGCCCGGCCTTGAAATATCTACAAAGCCCAGTAATTTCTTAATGGGTCGAGGCTTTGAAAGTTGGAAGCCAGCCAGTTTTCTTGCTCTCGGCAAACATTAAGGTACCCAAAACATAAATGTTCAAATTGATTTTTCCAACGGTATGGTATATGGATTGGTTTCCGGTTATAACTTTAATCGATCAAACCGGATAGGAGAGATTCCAAAATTGAAATTAAGAGAGATCTGTCCTGTATCTCTCGAGTAGTACGCGTGAGGTTCTCTGCCAAAAAGCCACAAATCCTGGCGTCGATAGCGATTGGTTAATTGTCGGTGGATCATCGTTTTCCGTTAGAGAGCAATCATCTTCCTCATACTCTCTTCCTCAACCTTCTTTTTGTTCCTCGCAAACCATTATCTACCACTATCGCACATCTTCTCGCTTCCAATTCCGAGTTTTCTCTTCGTCGCCGGTTGTGCTTTAGTTGTCAGATCTCCCGCCTATGATTGTTTGATTGGCAATGGAGTCTTAGTCTATCACCTGCGAGGCCTTTGTGACGCTGGATTCTTCTCAAATCTCACCTCATCTCTTATAGATTCCGAGTATGATTTGTTTGTCTCTCTCCTCCGTTATTCGGCTACTTTCGCGGTTCGTTGCTTGATTTAGGTTTTTTTTTTTGGTATTCTTCTTAATTTTGACAGGGATGGCGCTGAAGCGAGGGTTATCGGGAGTTCACCGGATTAAAGGAGGTGGTGGTGGATCTCGATCTGTCCTTGTGCTCATCGTCTTTTTCTGTGTTTTTGCACCTCTTGTCTTCTTTGTTGGCCGAGGAGTATACATTGATTCCTCAAACGGTATGAACATTGCTTATCTTGTTTAAATTTATTTGGAATCATGTAGAGATCTAGAAATGCTATAAGGATTGCCGTTAAATTATTCGCCTTCACTATCTGCATTCCAGTTACATTGCCGTTAAATTATTCGCTTGGAGTGACACTGATGAATGATGATCCTCTTCCGAGAATTGCTGCTTTCCTAGACTGATAAAGTTATTATTGTTTGTATAGTCATTGGAATAAATGTTGAGCTTTTAATCTCAACTATTAACGTTCTCGAGGTTCTATTATATTGTATATATATCATTATCTGCGATTTCTCTATCTGATGAAGTTACTTTCATTACTGCAGATTATTCAAATGCTTCTGTGAAGCAGGTGGGCTGAAACTCTTTTAATTTTCCTGCTTTTGTGTTTTAACAGAAGTAAGGATTTTGTTTAATTGTATTGGTTGTGTGCAGAATCTTGACTGGAGAGAACGCTTAGCAATGCAATCTGTTAGATCTCTTTTCTCAAAAGAGGTAAGTCTAAATCAGTGGAAACTCTGGTTTGTTCTTCTTAGGATGGCTCGGTTCTTACTATTTTTTCCCCCTCCAGGTACTAGATGTTATCACAACTAGCACAGCTGATTTGGGTCCTTTTAGCCTCGATTCTTTCAAGAAAAACAATTTGTCAGCATCATGGCGAGGAACCGGAGTAGATGCCTCCTTTAGAAATTCTGAGGTGTGGTTTACTGTGTAACTTCATTCGCCTGTTTTTGTTTTCGAAATATCTACCCCCGATCATTTTGGCTCATGGTTTTTATCTTTTGATCTACTTGAAACAGAATCAAACAACTCTTGATGTTAAACCTAGTATCATGAATGCAAAACGTGACAGTACTTCAAAAGGTGGTGGCTTTTATTTAAGTTACATTCTAATTTATATCGACGTATTCCATTTCTGATTCTTCTATATATCGCTCATGCAGATGGTAGCCATCAGAAAGTTGAGACACCTGCAAAGTTTTACAGAAGGGTAATTATCATCTTCTTTACTCGAGTTTAAAACCTGGATGCATCATACATTTTTCTGGAGAATATTTCTGGCGCCTTGAGTATTTACCATAATTTCTTTATTTATTTTGAAATTTTCAGCAACTAAGAGAGAAAAGGCGTGAGATGCGGGCAAATGAGTTGGTCCAGCACAATGATGACACGATTTTGAAGCTTGAAAATGCGGCCATCGAACGCTCCAAGTCTGTTGATTCTGCAGTCCTTGGAAAATACAGTATTTGGAGAAGAGAAAATGAGAATGACAACTCCGATTCAAATATACGCTTGATGAGGGACCAAGTAATCATGGCTAGAGTCTATAGTGGTATTGCAAAACTGAAAAACAAGAATGATTTGCTACAAGAACTCCAGGCCCGACTAAAGGACAGCCAACGCGTTTTAGGGGAATCAACATCTGATGCTGATCTTCCTCGGAGGTAGATTGCCCCCTTTTGTTTCTGTTATTCTCCCAGAGATGCTTTCTACTACGTGCATTCTTTTCACTGTTTGTGTACTTCAAAAACTAACATTCTCTGTAAATTACTTTTCATCCAGTGCACATGATAAACTCAGAGCCATGGGTCAGGTCTTGTCTAAAGCTAAGATGCAGTTATATGACTGCAAATTGGTTACTGGAAAGCTAAGAGCAATGCTTCAAACCGCCGATGAACAAGTCAGGAGCTTAAAGAAGCAGAGTACTTTTCTGGCTCAGCTAGCAGCAAAAACAATTCCAAATCCTATCCATTGCCTCTCAATGCGCTTGACCATCGATTACTATCTTCTTTCTCCGGAGAAACGAAAGTTCCCTCGCAGTGAAAACCTAGAAAACCCAAATCTTTATCATTATGCCCTCTTCTCTGACAATGTATTAGCTGCATCAGTGGTTGTTAACTCAACCATCATGAATGCCAAGGTAAAACACTGATCTCTTATCACTTGATTTGTGCATCTGTGTGTTTAATTTAATCATTTCAAACATGAATACTGTAGAGTTGAAATTGAAAATGCTTTTTCCTGTTACCGCAGGATCCTTCGAAGCATGTTTTTCACCTTGTAACTGATAAGCTCAATTTCGGAGCAATGAACATGTGGTTCCTCCTAAACCCACCTGGAAAGGCAACCATACACGTGGAGAACGTGGACGAGTTTAAGTGGCTCAATTCATCCTATTGCCCTGTTCTTCGTCAGCTTGAATCTGCAGCAATGAGGGAATACTACTTCAAAGCAGATCATCCAACTTCAGGCTCCTCGAATCTCAAATACAGAAACCCAAAGTATCTGTCCATGTTGAATCACTTGAGATTCTACCTCCCTGAGGTTTATCCCAAGCTGAACAAAATCCTGTTCTTGGACGACGACATCATTGTTCAGAAAGACTTGACTCCACTATGGGAAGTCAACCTGAACGGCAAGGTCAACGGTGCAGTCGAAACCTGTGGGGAGAGTTTCCACAGGTTCGACAAGTATCTCAACTTTTCGAATCCTCACATCGCAAGGAACTTCAATCCAAACGCTTGTGGATGGGCTTATGGGATGAACATGTTCGACCTAAAGGAATGGAAGAAGAGAGACATCACTGGTATCTACCACAAGTGGCAAAACATGGTACAGAACTCGTAACTCCTTTGCATCAATATTCTCAATTTGCTAATTATACATGGTTTGCTCATTATGGTGTTATTTGTTGTTTAGAATGAGAACAGGACACTATGGAAGCTAGGGACGCTACCACCAGGATTAATAACATTTTACGGACTAACGCATCCTTTAAACAAGGCGTGGCACGTGCTGGGACTTGGATATAACCCGAGTATTGACAAGAAAGACATAGAGAATGCAGCAGTGGTTCACTATAATGGGAACATGAAACCGTGGTTGGAGTTGGCTATGTCCAAGTATCGACCGTATTGGACCAAGTACATCAAGTTTGATCACCCATATCTTCGTCGATGCAACCTTCATGAATAAAAAATCAAATCTTTTGTTATATGATTTGAGGTAATTACTCCTAATCTTCTGTTGTTCCCGTCACATTCCTCTTTATTTTCCACACACATTGTTAATTGTTTATTCATATCTTTGTTTAGTCATTCTTTTTTTTTTATTTCCGGGTTAAAAACACCTTTGATATTTCCGAGTGTTTTTCGATTATATGTTAATGGAGAGGTTCTGTTAAGGACCAGTGAAAAAGGAAGCATTGTGTATTGGCTATTAAACTACACACAGATATTCCAAGTTCCAACATTGAATAGATTAAGAAACTTTCATTATAAAACTATGTTAGCATTTCTTAAACCTTTGATAGTTAATCACTAGATATAACATTCATTCAACACACAGAATTTGTTTAAAAAATAAATATTCAACAAATGGGATTGCAATGTAAACATTTAACATGTAAAATAAATGTTGACGGAAAAAACATGTAAAATAATAGTAAGTTCGACTTTCAAAATTGATCTGTAATGGAAACAAATTGGATAGTATTATCATTAGTTATGAAAAGACCCACTTTATGATAGAAACTTAGAAAGAATAATAAAACCCAAATCCAGTGAAAAGAAGAAAGATATTAAAACCCAGCAATTATGTTGAGATGGGCTGAAAATCGGACCGACGTATACTTCTACAAATACAGAATTACAAATCGGCCCTCCGTTAGAGCCAAGAGAGAAACTCAAAGGAAGATCAAAAACTTTTTGAGTAGAGGAGAAAAATCCGAAGCTAAAAACCCTAACCCCCCTGACGAATCGATGGAGCGAGAGGAAGAAGCGAGTGGCCCGATGATGGAGATGTGCACTAACGGAAGCGAAGAGACGTCTAATCGAAGACCCATTATAAGTGGCGAACCGCTCGACATCGAGGCTTACGCGGCGCTCTACAAAGGTCGCACGAAGATCATGCGTCTTCTCTTCATCGCTAACCATTACGGAGGAAACCAGACGGTTCAGCTTGAAGCGTTGAGGATGGCTTACGATGAGATCAAGAAGGGAGAGAATACGCAGTTGTTTAGAGAAGTGGTCAATAAGATTAACGGGAGGCTTGGGGAAAAGTATGCGATGGATTCGTCCTGGTGTGAAACTGTCGATCGTCGTGCTGAACAGAGGAAAGGAAAACTGGAGAATGAGCTCAGTTCGTATCGGGTAAATTGGATTTATGACCTAATTTCCTTTAAATCGTTCATGTGTATCTGTATTCCTTTCGTATTGCGTGTTTCGTGATAAATCTCTACTGCTGATTTCGATGATTCTGCTTCTCAGTTATTTTCTTAGAGAATGAAGTATGTAGTGTTTGGTTTATGTGTCGCTTAGTGTGTGCGTAGCTCTTTTCCTGGTTATTCGTTTAGTTGATTCTGCTGTTGTCTGTAATCTGTACAATGATGATCCTCCACTGCTGATTTTGATGATGTTGTTTCTCAATTAGTTACTTAGAGAATGAAGTATGTAATGTGCTGCTCTTTTCTGGTAATTTGCTTGCTCGACTCTGTAATTGCAAACATAGTGATTCATCTTCTGTGTGATTGTACAGACAAATCTGATCAAGGAAAGCATTAGAATGGGTTATAATGACTTTGGGGACTTCTACTATGCTTGTGGTTTGCTCGGGGATGCTTTCAAGAACTATATTCGAACACGAGACTACTGTACCACAGCAAAGCACATTATTCACATGTGTATGAATGCGATTCTTGTCAGCATCGAGACGGGACAGTTCACTCATGTCACAAGCTACGTTAACAAGGCAGAGCAGAATCCAGAAACCCTTGACCCTATTATAGCTGCGAAACTAAGATGTGCTTCCGGATTGGCTCACTTGGAGCTGAAGAAGTATAAGCTCGCTGCTCGTAAGGTCTGTCGTATTTTCCTAATCTAATGCTATGTGTGTATGGATCCTCGTATCCTGTCCAGTATTTTATCTGAAATCTAATCCTTGAATCTGGATATTGTCCTGTGCAGTTTTTGGATGTTAATCCAGAACTTGGAAATTCCTATAACGAGGTCATTGCTCCTCAAGATGTTGCCACCTATGGAGGACTTTGTGCCCTTGCTAGCTTTGATCGATCAGAATTGAAGGCATTTATCCTTTTTAGCTTTTTATCTTTCTTTGTCTTTTGTTTTGTGTGTGTGTGTTGCCTAGGTCTATAACTCAGTAGTCTAATGTGACAGGCAAAAGTCATTGACAATATCAACTTCCGGAATTTCTTGGAGCTAGTGCCTGAAGTGAGGGAACTTATCAACGATTTTTATTCAAGGTAACATGTTCCACCCAAAGCTCTTGTCTATTCCATGTATATAACCGAGTTGTTGACCTTGATTCAAGGATTATTAGTGGGGATACTCACTAAGACAACATTTATCCAACTAAATCCCTTGGTGATTATCAAGTCTGTTGAATCCATCAAATCACTATGCTGTTGGTTGTGTTGAATCTTATTTTCTTGCTTATGAGGACTTACCATGCTTGCTTCCAATTTGTTATCTATCTCAACACTGGATAAGATACTCAAAATCAACCATGTTGGTCTGTTTTCTCATTGAATCTCTCGTGTTTAACTCTTGTTGGTTGCAGCCGCTATGCGTCCTGTCTTGAACATCTAGGAAATCTCCGAGCGAATCTGCTGCTGGACATCCATCTTCATGATCACGTTGACACGCTGTATGACCAGATAAGGAAGAAGGCACTGATCCAGTACACTCTGCCGTTTGTGTCTGTTGATTTGAGCAGGATGGCTGATGCATTCAAGACCAGCGTCTCTGGTCTGGAGAAGGAACTCGAAGCCTTGATCACCGACAACCAGATACAGGTCCGTACTGTTTTAGCAAGAACTTTTTGTTGTTGTTACTTTCATTTCAAAACCCTTAAACCAATCTTCTCCATCGCGGACAGGCACGGATTGATTCACACAACAAAATCCTCTACGCAAGACACGCTGATCAGAGGAGTGCAACTTTCCAAAAGGTACTTCAGATGGGAAATGAATTCGATAGAGATGTCAGGGCAATGATGCTGAGAGCCAACATTCTTAAACATGACTATCATGCCAAAACTACCACCAACAAAAAACATTGAATTGGACGACATCTGCTTGGCTAATCTGGAGAGGTTCCAAGATCGTAAGAAGCTTTATGAAAGATTGATTTGGTTTAGTTATTGGTTAGATATATTATGTCTAATCATCTCTCCTCTCTCTTGTTATTGCTTTGTTTTCTTGACTTTTTAGTTTAAGGTTCTTTTAAGTACCATCTTTGGACTATGAATCAACTCCTAAGTGTGAATCTAAAAGTTCTTGAATCACACATTGATAGTGGAGATGGTCAAACTTTATTTTCAAACTTCAGAGACAATCTAAGTACACACTTGGTTTCATGGACCAGTATGAAATATGAGAGACATCTTTGTACGCATGTAGGGCCTTAAACCTCATCTCCCAACTAATACCAAATTCACATTGTCAACTAAACGTTGTATTTTATATGATAGGTTTGGGCACAGATGTCACTCTATAATTCTAGGCTCTTTTTAATTTACTTGGATAATCATAATCATCGAAACGGCAAGACCCTTTTTATAAGTACAATCTCGAAAATTGCAAAACCAAGATTTGATGTCGGCAAAACGCATAAGTGTGAACTTTTGATTTTTTAGCGTCAAAGAACTTTTGATATTTAATTTCGATAGCTACGTTTCATTTTTATTATGTAGTCTGAATACATCATTGAATGAGATTATGAGATAACTCTTTATCAATAATTTGGTCATAGCTTGAGGGTACCAAAGTTATGCATCTGTAATAATCTAGTCGTACCAATTCTCCTCTAATGCATTTCTTTAAGTCGTTGTTCTCTTTGTGTATCCTTTATTTATTTTTGTCCGTGGCAGAATATTCAAAGGTGGGTTTTCAAGATCCAAAACGAGAAATCGGGCAAATTACTTTATGTAAGAACCTGTTGGTTTTGTACGAGTTGATGACATTTTAAGTAAGTAGAGGTATTATTCTAAGGCGAGACGATCCATTATTAATTAAATGATTTTGCCTTTTTAGTTTTTAACATGTCTTAGGTAGCATCGCAATAACTCCATATTTACTCAAAACTCAAAAACCACAGAGTGTATAATGATTCCGCCAAATTTGGAAGATGGGCCATTAAATTTACTCACCTCAGTACTCCATCAAAAACTAGTGTCTACCTGCCTTACATGTTTCTTCGTCTATGGACTCTCACAGTTTGATATTTTATATCGTATTCCTTTTAAATGACAACAACATCTGCGTCTCTTAAGTAGTTAAGTCTGAAAGCACACTATATAAGAAATGATATATGATATACTACTAAATCTTTACTCAATTAAATATGAAACATCTGCTACTCTGTTTAAGTTTATTTAAATATACCATGTTGAGATGTGATGCAACAATAATTATCGTGAAGAAACATGTTGGAATTAATGAATTTACAAATAAGCCCAAGAGAAGGGTCAAAACAGTAGTTTCATAAATTCAGCCTGGATTCACCACTTGAAGTGGACTTTTATAGCAAAAGGGTTTTTATAACGTCAAAAGAGTCAAACCCAACTTTTCAATGGTTGTAAGGCTTTTCCATGACTCCACACACATCTCTTCTTTTTCCCTTTTTATCCTTTTTTTTCTTTCTCTCTCTCTTTGGAGTATTATCTTTTTAAATAATTGTTCTTTTTTAAAAAATCAACAGACCTTTTTCTATCTTCCTTTTTTCGTCGTTTCTGTCGTCTTTTTCATTTATTGGTCTCTCTCTCTCTCTCCTTTTCATGGACATGCACCGAAGCGACAAAGCTTTCTAACAGTTAGGGCTTTTCATCCATGGTGGATTTCTTCTACAATTGATAATTATTTTTCCATCTTCTTTCCTTAGTCCATAGAATTTCATGAATTTCAACGGTTTTCTCGGCGACGGTTCTTCCGGAGATAGAGCCGCGAAGCTAATCTCCGACGTTCCGTACAGTGACCACTTCCCTTTCTCCGCCGCAGCCACCATGCTCGGAACTTCCATTTCTCCGCCTCACCATAGCCGCATAACTCATTCTCGCCCCTTCTCCTCTCACGGTCTCTCCCTTGGACTCGTAAGCTCACAATCCCCTTGTTGATGTCTGCCTTCTTCTTCTCCTTCTACTTCTTCTTCGTAGCGTACTCATAATCTCTGTGTTTAGCAGCAAACAAATGGAGTAAACAACGGAGAAATCAGTAAAAGCCGAGAGATTTTTGAGCCAAATGTAAATCGTAGGAGTAGAGGAGAAGACGCAGAAAGCAGATCTGAGAGCGATAACGCTGAAGCAGGTTCTGGTGACGACTTAGAAGCCGACGATAAACCTCCGAGGAAGAAGAAACGTTACCACCGTCACACTCCAAAACAAATACAGGACCTCGAATCGTAATACTCTTCCTCCTTACTAACCCACAAAAAAAAAAACTCCATTAACTAATTCTTAAATCCACGATGATTTGGTATCTGATTTCAAGCCTGGATTTTTTAGGGTTTTCAAAGAGTGTGCACATCCCGACGACAAGCAGCGTCTCGATCTCAGCCGTCGTCTTAACTTGGACCCCCGTCAAGTCAAATTCTGGTTCCAGAATCGCCGTACTCAGATGAAGGTTTATCTTCGATTCGCCGTCTTCTTCTTCGTTTTCGTGATTTTGTTTATAAAAAAAAAAATTGGGTACTGATGTGTTTCCTGCAGACTCAAATCGAACGCCATGAGAATGCTTTGTTGAGGCAAGAGAACGATAAGCTCCGAGCGGAGAATATGTCAGTACGCGAAGCCATGAGAAACCCTATGTGCGGCAACTGCGGCGGACCCGCCGTCCTCGGTGAGATTTCCATGGAAGAGCAACACCTTAGAATCGAAAACGCACGCCTCAAAGACGAATTAGACCGAGTCTGCGCCTTAACCGGTAAATTCCTTGGCCGGTCTGTACCATCACCCACCGGTTCACTTCATATACCGGACTCAGCACTCGTCCTCGGCGTTGGCGTCGGTGCCGGTGGCTGTAACGGAGGTGGTTTCACTCTCTCCTCGCCGCCGCTGCCTCAAGCTTCTCCCAGATTTGAGATTTCAAACGGTACCGGTTCTTGCTTGACTACGGTTAACCGTCAACCACCGGTTAGCATGAGTGATTATGATCAGAGATCAAGGTATCTGGACCTGGCCCTTGCGGCTATGGACGAGCTTGTGAAGATGGCTCAGACACGCGAGCCGCTCTGGGTTCGAATGTTGGAGACTGGGTTCGAAATGCTTAACAAGGAAGAGTACGACACAAGTTTCAGCCGGTGTGTTGGACCAAAACAAGATGGGTTCGTCTCAGAAGCTTCTAAAGAAACTGGAACCGTCATCATCAATAGCTTAGCCCTCGTCGAAACCTTGATGGACTCGGTTAGTAATTAGTCATTCTTAATCCAACACAAGGCAAAGGATTGATCTTTTGATAAAATGATTGTTTTTTTTTATAGGAACGATGGGCAGAAATGTTTCCGTGTATGATCTCAAGAACTTCAACTACGGAAATCATCTCTAGTGGCATGGGAGGGACACGAAATGGTGCACTTCACCTGGTAATTATATACTTATGCGTTACCATTTACATACACATTGATCAAAAATGGGTCTTTTACACTCCTTCTCTCTTTTTTTTTTCTTTTGGTTAATTAGATGCACGCAGAGCTTCAATTGTTGTCTCCACTCGTGCCTGTTCGACAAGTATCGTTCTTGCGGTTCTGTAAACAACACGCGGAAGGTGTTTGGGCGGTCGTGGATGTCTCAATTGATTCCATAAGAAAAGGTTCTTCTTCGAGCTGTAGAAGGTTACCGTCCGGTTGCCTCGTACAAGACATGGCCGATGGCTTCTCAAAGGTAACACCGAAAATGAATTAAGACTTTTCTCGGTTAAAGTTTTAAAATAAGGGAGTCAAATTTATAAAATACTGAGAATATATGGTAAAGTTTTCACCTTTAGTGGATTTTTCATGTTCAGTGTTGTATTGGTTTCACAGTTATCTAGGCATCATACGCAAGGCTCTTTGGTTTGTCCGGAAAATTATACTATAGTATATACATAAAGGTTTCATATGCATTGGGTTTATAAAATTACTTATCCAGTATTTTAGTATGCACTATTTTATTGATCAGAAGCATCTAAATATCTCCGACTTCTGTGCCCTTGGATCGTGCATTAATTTAAATCCAACGCTTTAAAAATCCTTTTCTTTAGTAGATTTTTTTTTTCCCACCACTAACTTTTACATTTACATGCTGCACCAAGATGATGAAGTTTTTTTTTTTTTTTTGTGTAACAAAGATGATGAAGTTTCTTACTTATCTTATCATTAATTTTTGTTTTCCAAAAACTTTTAAACTCTAGACCTAACAAATGTTTGGGGGTAAATCTAACGCAACATGGTTTAAGCAAATTTGCAGGTAACGTGGATCGAGCACACCGAGTATGACGAAAACCGCATCCACCGTTTATACCGCCCGTTACTAAGCTGCGGCCTAGCGTTTGGGGCACAGCGATGGATGGCTGCTTTACAACGTCAATGCGAATGCCTCACCATTCTCATGTCCTCCACTGTTTCACCTTCACGTAGCCCCACCCGTAAGCTCCCTTTGACTCGGCGTTCACTTTTGGTTATATTATTACTTTATTAGCACCTTTACTTCTCAAAACTTTTACTTTTTAAAAATGTTTTTTTATAATGGGCACAGCCATAAGCTGCATTGGGAGAAAGAGCATGCTAAAGCTAGCGAAGAGGATGACAGATAATTTCTGCGGAGGTGTTTGTGCATCGTCGTTACAGAAATGGAGCAAACTTAACGTCGGTAACGTTGACGAGGACGTTAGGATCATGACTAGGAAGAGCGTAAACGATCCCGGTGAACCGCCCGGGATCATTTTAAACGCTGCGACGTCCGTTTGGATGCCGGTTTCTCCGCGGCGGTTGTTCGATTTCCTTGGAAATGAACGGCTGAGATCTGAATGGGATATCTTATCCAACGGCGGGCCCATGCAAGAGATGGCCCATATCGCTAAAGGCCATGACCATTCGAACTCCGTCTCCCTCCTCCGTGCCACCGTAAGCATATCTACTAGACTTTTCTTTGTGTATAAAGCTAATTTTCAAAATTCGGTTTGTTTTTTTTTTTCTTTCTAAAATGAGTTGGTATTTCAGGATTTTTGGTTTTGATTAAGATCAGTTGAACCGGGTTTTCGGACATTTAATATTTATAAATATTTAGATGTGTGTGAAAGGGGGGTGGGGTGTGTTGCGTGACCCCAGGATGATGTGGTCATATGAATCTTGTCGCGTGTGATTGGAAAGGGACAAATCTGGAATTTGGAAGTATGGGGAGAGGAAAGTCAAAATTAATAAGACATTTTTGACCTTTTTCCTTCTCTTTTTGGCTCTGACATTTTTTACTTTTCAAAAATTGCCTATTTTTCTTTTTTTTTGTTTTGCATTATGTATGGGTTCTCCTTTTTACCCCTGAACCTCTGGCATTGTGACTGTGACACTATCGAAAATACACATCAAATTTATCTATTGTTTTACTTTTAGTTTATAATTTTCCGCTTCCCAATTTACCCCCTTAATTTATTAATATTAATATTTTCGCAGGCCATAAATGCGAATCAGAGTAGTATGCTGATACTACAGGAGACAAGCATAGACGCTGCAGGAGCGGTTGTGGTGTACGCGCCCGTCGATATCCCCGCAATGCAAGCTGTAATGAACGGTGGTGATTCAACTTACGTGGCACTGCTTCCCTCAGGATTCGCCATTCTCCCGAGCGCTCCACAACGCTGCGCCGCAGAGGAACGTAACGGTAACTCTAACGGTAACGGTGGGTGCATGGAGGAAGGAGGGTCGTTACTAACGGTGGCGTTTCAGATTCTGGTGAATAGTTTGCCAACGGCTAAGCTCACGGTGGAATCTGTTGAGACGGTTAATAATCTGATATCGTGCACCGTACAGAAGATTAAAGCTGCTCTTCATTGTGATAGCACCTGATTGAGATCGGACGGTGTGTATTGAGTCAAGAACGAACCTCATTTTCTGTGAAGTCCGTGGTGTGATGGTTCGGGTATTGACTCGATAAAATATGAACAAACAAACAAACAAAAACTTTAAATTCGGATGGTTTCATTTTAAATGTAATGTTGTTTTGTTTTGTATTGACTCGATCAAATCTGAAAAGCATTTAATGAAACGCCAATCTTTTTTATATTGAACTATCGATTCTTTCATCTAGAACACAATCTCAGATTTTGAAAACTAGTTATTATATAGATAATGTCTGAAAATCGCTGATTCTTTTCTTTTTCTTGATTGAAAAAAATATGTGAACACAAGGCAACCAACATCTAACATGGTCCTCAGTCAGTAACTATATTTGTGGTAAAGTCGTTTAGTAATGTGAAAGGAAGGTTGGGCCATTTATTTTGGGGACCCTTTATTTGATGTTGAAGCTAATATAGTCATGGTCTCTTTTTCAATAAAAGATAGAAAAGGAACAAACGAAGAATGAAACACGTGAGTACATATGAATATACCGTTGATCTTATAGTTATCTACTTACATCCATGCACTGCACGCCAAACCAAAAAAAAACAAGTTTAGAGAATCCAGGCGCACCTAATTTAATTGGTTAGAGGAGATTGTTCATTTGTTCGATAAGTATTAGTTATGATGTCTTGCAAAACATAACTAGATTAAAAAGTTTGTTTTGCAACAATAGTAGTCTAGATTAAAAAGTTTGTTTTGTTTGGTTAGGATCTCTGTTGAATGAAACTCAAAATCAATGTACTAGACACAAATTCTAGAAAAGAGACCCGTGTTTATAATATCAACACTATTTTGGGCTATTGATGTAGGCCCATCATAGAATAATATCTTTGAGCTTTTATTGGGCTTTTGCTTAAGGCCATCATTCACTGTTATTATAGTATAGGGCTACGAACAAGCCTTTTTAATCAAGTCCGCGCGCGTCGAGCACCACCGTTAGATTTACCAAAAGAGCTAATAATAAACGGTCAAGATCGTCATATGATTCTTGATACTATTTGATAACTGCAAAGAAAGGAGGGTGAGAGAATGGTTGGTCTTCGATGGTTTGACCATGGCGGATCTTAAACGAGAAACGCCACCTGGTTTGTTTTGTAGCTATATCCGCTCCGCCGTAGATATAAGTTTCTATAATTATGTTTGTACAAATGTATATATATACTCAGAGTAAGGAACAATAATTATCCTCTTTTTTTTTTTTTTTTGTTCGTTTTCTGGCAGAGGAAGGAAGAAGGAGAGAGCAATAGGCATCGTCGTCGTCTCTCTCTCTCTTTCTCTCTTTCTCTTCACCTGAAAACTCCTTCGGTTTTCTCGTAAGCCCCATTTTCTGTCTTTTTTTTTTGTTTTCCTGGGAAAATTCTGCTCCGTTATCTTCGGAAACGATGAATGTGATGCGTAGATTGACGAGTATTGCCTCTGGACGCAATTTCATCTCTTCTGATAACGTAAGTGATTTCGATATTTAAGAAAAAAAATATATATATAGTTTCGTGGATGTCGACGTTTGGTTAAAGCATTATCTAACTTGCGTAGGTAGGAGAAACCGAGACGCCGAGATCGAAGGCTAACCAGAATCGGGAAGAAAAAGAAGCTGTGGAAACGACGAGAGAATCTGTTTCAGAGGAATCTGTTTCTACGAAAGAGGATTCTGATCATTTACCAAAGGAAATCAGCGATATGGGATTTGATGATGACAAGGTTTAGTTTGAAATTTCACCGTTTTTGAAATTTTGGATTGGTTAATTTCTTCTTTGATCTTGGAGCTGACGACGATGAATGATGTTCAAACTTTTTTTATCAGGACACGGACGGTGGAATCATCAAGGGAAATGGGACAGAATCTGGTCGGATTATTACCACCAAAAAGAAGGGTTTGAATGATCAAAAAGACAAGGTGACTCCAAAATTCTTAGTTGAATTATCTGAAATTATTGTTTCATCAAATCTGATCTGTTTTTGTTCTTCTTATTCAGACAATCTCGTACAGAGCTGAACATGTAATTGGCACTGGCTCATTCGGTGTTGTCTTTCAGGTAAATATAATACAAATACAAAAAATAGTCCCAAGAGATTAAATTGTGATTGATGTTCCATTAATGGAGGTTTTGATATTAGGCTAAGTGCTTAGAGACGGAAGAAAAGGTAGCAATCAAGAAAGTGTTGCAAGACAAGAGATACAAAAACAGAGAGCTTCAGATAATGCGAATGGTCCATCATCCTAATGTCGTCGAGCTCAAGCATTCTTTCTTCTCCACCACCGAGAAAGACGAGCTTTACCTCAACCTTGTTCTCGAGTATGTACCAGAGACTATATACCGCGCATCCAGATCTTACACCAAGATGAATCATCATATGCCCTTGATTTACATTCAGCTCTATACCTATCAGGTTTATACAAAACATCAACTATATTTGTGAATTCTATATTCTCACTTTTTTCGTGGTTCTGAGAGATGTTTGTTGGATAAACCAGATTTGCCGCGCAATGAATTATCTACATCGAGCTGTTGGAGTGTGTCACCGTGACATTAAACCGCAAAATCTATTAGTGAGCATTTTTAAAAAAGTAAGTTCTTGTGAGAGTAGTAGCACTTTTACTGACTAATTAACTCGCAGGTGAATAGTGTTACGCATGAGGTAAAGATATGCGATTTCGGGAGCGCGAAAATGTTGGTAGGTTCCATAGCTCTACATGAGTTTTCAGTTTTTTTTTTTGTAAGATACCAATGCATGTTGTAGGAAGCATTACATAGTGAGTGATGTCTTGTTGGTTTCAGATTCCAGGAGAACCCAATATATCTTACATATGCTCAAGGTATTACAGAGCTCCAGAACTCATATTTGGAGCAACCGAGTACACAAACGCCATCGATATGTGGTCTGTAGGTTGTGTCATGGCCGAGCTTTTTCTTGGACATGTAAGCATATCTTTTCTTCTGAGTTTTGTAAGTTTTAATCTGAGACTTTTTTTTTTTTGAACCTCTCTTTTGCTTTATATTGTATACACAGCCTCTATTCCCTGGAGAGACCAGTGTTGATCAATTGGTGGAGATCATCAAGGTAAAAAACATATTGGCTCTTCTCTTCTCTTCTTTTTTATTTTTCTGTTAGAAATTCTCAGAGTTGTGTTCTGCTATTTTTAGATTTTGGGGACACCAGCAAGAGAAGAGATAAAGAACATGAATCCTCGTTACAATGATTTTAAGTTCCCTCAGATAAAAGCTCAGCCATGGCACAAGGTTACATATTTTCACCTAAGAAAGTTTAGAGGAATGAGATAATGTTTTTTCCTTACAAATGAAACCTGCAACTTTCCCTTTTCCAGATTTTCCGGAGACAGGTATCTCCAGAAGCAATGGATCTTGCCTCTAGACTCCTCCAGTATTCACCAAACCTGAGATGCACAGCGGTAAGAGAGAACAACTCCATGGCATCATTAGAATGTCTGCTTTTAACTCCTTTACTTACCTCTTGTTTCAGCTTGAAGCATGTGCGCACCCGTTCTTCGATGATCTGAGAGACCCAAGAACATCCTTGCCTAATGGAAGAGCACTTCCTCCATTGTTTGATTTCACAGCTCAAGGTTTTGGCAACAAACAACACTCTGTTTTCTTTTAAAGTTACCACTGGAATGTGCTTGTCTTCCTCTTCTTGAACTTATGCAATTACTGTACTTTCTTGCAGAATTGGCTGGTGCATCTGTTGAATTGCGTCAACGTTTAATCCCTGAGCATGCAAGAAAATGAGTACTTTGGCTATCTGTACACAGATGTTGATATATAAATCTTTTTGGATTTCTCGAGATTTTCTTGTCCACACGCATAGCATTGTTCTGGTTATGAGCCCTCGCTGACCTCTGCAACCACATGGATTATAGCAGTTTTTAAAAGTGTATAATTCTAAAGTTTGTAACTTTGTAGCTTCCATTGTTGCAGACAGAAATGCAGAATTTTTCCGCAAGAATGTTACCAATAAATAGTCTTCTTATGCAAAAATGTTACCAATACTCTCCGCAAGAACAGTTTCCATCTCTAAAGTGATGAAAGCAGTTAGAGTCTCTTAAGATGATATGCCGAAGATACACTCTCGATATGTACTTCATCGCACTGTGGCAATCCCCACAGACGCGGAGGTTCTTGATGATCCGGATCGGAGCTCCAGGCGGTACAACGAGTAGACCAAACGCTACAGCTAACTTCTCACTATGGTAAGCCAAACCAAGCTCTTTGCCTTCCTTGTCCAAGTCGTGGAGTGCAAAACTCATATCCGGTAAATAACCAGCTTCTTTGATCAAAAGCATCATTTCATCAACCTTTGAATATATCTCACCCATTCTCGGATGTCTTCTATCTTCTGACATAAAGCTATGAACTTTACCTTTCCCTTCAACCCAACTGAAACCAGGCTCTTTGCTTATGTTACGAGATTTCATCAACCTACGAATATTTGCAGCTTCCTCTTGTCTTCCCGCTGCAGAATACATGTTTGATAACAGAACATAAGGAACAGCATTGTTTGGTTCCAATTCCATGAGTTTTCTCGCTGCTCTTTCCCCGTTTTTTATATTCCCATGCTTCCTACATGCAGCCAAAATCGCTTTCCACACAGTTGCATCTGGTTCAACCTCCATTTGATTCAGCAATTCCTCTGCTTTGGCGAAATCACCAGATCTACCAAAGAGATCAATCATACAGGCATAGTGTTCAGGTCCTGGTGTGATTCCATAAACTGTTCTCATCGATTCAAAGTAGACTTGAGCTTCCTCTATGAGGCCGGCATGACTGCAAGCAAATAGTAAACCGATAAAAGTGATGTAGTCCGGTTTTATGCCACTGCCTACCATCAGACTGTATGATTGTAGCGAGTCCTTGGCTTTGCCGTTTTTCGCATAACCAACAATTAGAGCAGTCCATGTTATCAAATCCCTGGCTTCCATAGAGTTGAATATCACATCAGCGTCTTCTAAGCTTCCGCACTTTGTATACATTGTCACAAGAGAGTTATCTACTGACAAAGATGATGGGAAGCCAGATTTAATGTGATTCCCGTGTACCTGTTGCCCAAACTCCAGAAGAGTTAACTCCGCCGAGGCGCTTAATACACTCGCTGTAACAATCTGATCAGGAGAAATGCCTCCAGCTCTCATGTCACAGAACAGCTTCAACGCTTCTTCGTAAGACCCGTTATGTGTGTTTCCCGTGACAAGAGCCGTCCAAGATATCACATCTTTCTCAATCATCCCTTCAAACACTTTCAACGCCGAGTCCATGTCTCCTTTTTTAGCATACATATCCACGAGAGCGTTACACACAAGCTTGTAAGTTCCATATCCAGTTTTCACAATCAGACAATGCACAGAAGAAGCTATCTTCATCTCTGTCCTGTAGGAAGCGAAACAGTTTAAAACAGAAGGAACTGTGAACTCGTCTATCTTCATATCTCGCTCATGCATCTTTCCGAATAAAGACAGAGCTTCTTCTTTAAGTCCTTCTCTAACACACTCAACAATCATCGAGTTCCAGGAAACCACATCATCAACTTCCATGCCTTCTAACAACTCTCTTGCGGTTTCCAAGTCTCTGCATTTAGCATACATAGCAATCAATGCGCTCTGAACAAAGATATTGGTCTTGAAACCACTCTTAACTATGCAGCCATGTACTTGAACTCCAATCCTGCGAGCAGAAACCGCAGCACAAGCAGTTAAAACGCTGGGAAATGTAAACTGATTCAAGTGATTTCCATGCCTTGTCATATCCGTAAAACACTCGATAGCCTTGTAAGCAAACCCGTTTTTAGAGTAGCCCGTAAGCATCGAAGTCCATGTAACGTTATTTCTCTCACGTTGCATTGTCATAAAGAGGTGTTCAGCTTCAGTGATGCGTTTGCATTGTGCATACATAGCGAGAAGGCCATTAACCACACCAACATCCAAATCAAACCCGGTTTTTACTGTACACCCATGAATCTGTTCACCTCTGAGAAGTAAACCAAGCGAAGCACACATCCTAAGAACACTGCCCAAAGTGTACTCGTTAGGGTTTATTCCTCCATCAAACTGCATTTCCCAAAACAGACGAAAAGCTTCGTCTTCACTTCCGTACTTGCAGTACCCAGAGATGAGAGCATTCCAGGAGATTGTATTCTTCACTGGGTTACTAAGGAAAAGCTGATTCGCATCAGAGAGTCTCCCCGAAGCGGAGTAAGCAACGATCATAGTGTTCCAAGTAAACTCATCCCTCTCAGTCATTCCATCGAACAACTGGCGGGCTTCCTCGACCCGACCAGATTTAGACAAATCTCTCAACAACAGATTCGAGTGAAGCTTCTTCGTTGGAGCAGCATTGCTGTGAATGTTATTACAAAACAGTGTCAAAGTAAGATGGCAGTTTTTGAAATTCGACCTGCGCATCACTCTCCAATTGATTGTGGCGTATGTTGCTTTTTGAAATGATAATTAGCGCACAAGAAACCAATAATCCACGTGTCTTTGCTGTGCTTAATGTAACTAATAGTCCACGTGTCTTTTCTATGCTTAGTAAATCATAAACTAATGTAGTAATATTTAGATCATACGTATATAAAATTTGAAAAAGTCAACAAATATTAAATAAATGCTAGAAAAAAATCATAAAAATAGAAAACATGAACGATAATATCTAGAAATTTAATAAAAAGAACTTAGCAATGATTAATAATATTATTAGAATCATATTTCGAAAGTGTGATGATAGGATTAAGAACAAAGTAGAAGAAATATAAGCTAATATATTCTTTTTTTTTTTGGTCCATTGATTTTAAACTAAAAAATGCATAAAATTTAATAGATACCATCTAACAATTTAGATCGTTGATTTAAGTAAGATGGTCTAACGAAGAAATAAATCTCCCAAGAATAGATTCAAGTGAAGCTTCTTCGTTCTTGTTGACTGTTGCGTAAATGAATGTATGTATATACTTTTATGTTGACTTGGGAGAAGACACCTTGTTTCAATGTTTTTTCGCAATGAATTATAGATTCAAATGGGTCTTTAACAAATGGGCCCTTGTAATAGACCCATTAGTTAGGATCAACAATTGTGTAAACGATGGGTCTTTAACAAATGGGCCCTTGTATTAGACCCATTAGTTAGGATCAACAATTGTGTAAACCGTTCTCAGTTTGACTAATCAGTGCCGTTCAGTCAAAATATCCAATTATCGATCTCGATCAACGATGGGCTTTTAATGAGCCTGTATGTTTTCGTTCTTAGGACTTTTTATTGTTATTATTTGATGATACTTTATAGATAAATAACAAAAGAAAGAAAAAAATCAAGTTAGCATTGATAATTGCAGACACAGATAAATCGTCTGTCTACTGTTCTGACACACTGGCCACTTCCCTGCAACTTCTGCTCACAGAGAGTTGTGCACGCGGCTCCATTACAATTGTTAGTTGTTAGAATCTGATGACATATATGTTGTCCTTGTGTCTCGTTGGCCACCATCCCTGAAAATATAATATTCTTCAATACGTATGTGACTATAATATATAAAGGCATAAAAACGTGAGAAAACACTTATTTAAGTTATTATTGGGATAATGATTTTATGATATTCTTAAAGAAAAGTAAATGTTAAACAGACCTATTATTACGACGACGAAGATCGCAAGAAATGTGAATTTAGTCATTTTGTGATGATACAACTGGATTTGAAGTTCTTTCAAAAGTTTTTAAGGCAATGACTGTATTTGTAATGTACATGTAATTTCTCTATTTATATATGAATTTGTATGCATTCATATTTAATTTAGAGTACATAATAATGTCATAAATGACATCAACTTATAAAATAATATAAATTTTGATTAATTTGGAAAAACAATGGTGTTAATTAGAAAGAAATCCCCTTGATAATAACTCAAATTAATTTACAATATATTTTTCCATAAGATCACCATGCAGGGGATAATGAAAATGGGATTTCAAAAGCAATCTGGTCTTCTTTTTTGTTTTATTTCAAAGATTTTCATTAATATGAGTCAAAGGACTATATCACGACTCAATGGATAATGAAAATGGAAACAAATTTATTTGGAAAGCAATGCGGTGTTATTCAGAAAGAAGAGACTATGCAATTGATATCAAATACCATTGACCGTTATTAAATTATTGGAACTATTAGAATGAAAAGCAACCATGCACATGCAGTGCAAATGTGAAATGATGAATTCATGTTGTTATGTGCGCGACTATGTGTTGTGCATATATGTCGTTTGAACTTCTAACTTATATTTACAAAGGGAGTATAGAAATAAAACCTTTTAATTTAGCGAAAGAAGAAGAAAAATTAGAAATGAAATTTTGGTATAGTAGCCAATTTTGGATATGGATGAGACCATGTCACAATTGGTAAAAATCGTCACTGTGGAACTATAGTTGTATTGTAAAAACTATGACTATATTAATATTAATAAATGAATTTGATGATAAAATTAAAATTTCTATTTCAAATTCAAACGATTTCAGAAATAAAAGTTTTGTTATAATGACAAAGTGTAAATTTGTGCAACTATCACCAAATAAAAGAACTCATACTTATAAAACATTTGTATTTCGAAAATTTGGTAAAATAACTTTGTAAGAGTGCTTTGCTCTTGATGGCTCCAAACAATGTTTAATTTTTAATGAAATGAAGTATTTGCAAAAAAAAAAACAAGATTAAACAATTTTATAATCATGTATTCAAACGAATGAACTTTGTCTCAGCACATACCACCATGCTCTGAAGCATATCATTGGGAACATTTAATCTTCTTTTAACCAACAAACGACTACATTAACAACATGTTTTTAGTGGAGATCTTTTATAAATTAAGTTATATTTATATATAAAATAAAAAGGGGAATATTCATCTGATCGAACGTCAATGGAGACATTCTCTTGTCGTTTTCAATTTACATTGGTTTCTGAGAAATTGGTCCTCAAAACCTAGAATCATCCACCCAACAGTCGGCAGATTTCCAGCGATTTCAAGCCCGACCCGTCGAGAATCGGACTATTCCGGATAAACCCGATTACCCAAGATCCAATATTCGCCCCTCCATTTCTCCGAAATTTCCGAAGTTGATAGATTCTTAATCAGATTCTGGGTTTTTTTGTTTGTTTGTTTTCGATGAATCCACCGATCCCTGTCCCAGCCTCTTCTTCTCCGGCGATGGACGCTTCGCCGCTTCTAAGCCGGAACAGGCGTAACCTCCCGCACTCCTCCCAGCCGCTTCGAGGCGCAGCGTCGAGGCTTCTCCGCCGCGCTAGCAACCGCCGGATGATGCTTCGTGAGCCCTCCGTTCGAGTCCGCGAGGTGGCGGCTGAGCAGCTTGAGGAGCGGCAGAGTGAATGGGCTTACTCGAAACCGATCATAGCCCTCGATATACTCTGGAATTTCGTCTTTGTGATTATCTCAATCGCGATTGTATGGGTTAGTTCTGAAGAAAATCCTGATGTTCCTCTAAGGCTGTGGATAATTGGGTACAATCTCCAGTGTTTGTTTCACGTTGGATGTGTAATTGCTGAGTATAAACGACGCCGAGAAGCTAATTCTCGGAGTGAAGATGATTCCTCCAATCACGGATCTCTCAGCGGAAGCGAAGACGAATCTGATGGTTACGGCGTAGACGAGGCTGACGATGACCATCGAGCTAGGTCAGCTTCCCTATTTCCCCCTTTCTTCTTTGATCTTTGCAACTTCAGTTTCGCGGAATCATTGATGCTTTAGCTTTAGTGATAGACTCTTACTCGCTTGGATTGAGACCCATTATAGGCTGAAGGAATCTTTAGGATTGTATACAAATTGTTGAAGTGAAGTTCCTGTTTTTTTCCAGTTTCGCCAAGCATCTCGAATCTGCAAATACGATGTTCTCTTTCGTCTGGTGGATCATCGGGTTTTACTGGGTCACAGGTGATACCGAGGCACTCTCTCAATCCTCGCCGCAACTCTACTGGTTTGTAGCCTGAAAAAACAACTGTTGTTGATTTTGTTCTTCCACTTATGCTTTTTATCATCTCAAAAGATTGTTTCTTTGGATCAAATCTTGTATTTTGCCAGGCTCTGTGTTGCATTCCTTGCCTTTGATGTGATCTTCGTTGTCATCTGCGTCGCCGTTGCTAGTCTAATCGGTATCGCTGTTTGCTGCTGTTTACCTTGCATCATCGCGATCTTGTACGCGTTAGCTGACCAGGTAAAGAAACACTAGACAGTGAAGACAAAAACTTAAACCCTATGTTTCTTGATGCATTCTAATAAAAGAATGTAAACTCCGTCTCTGGTTTTCAAATGTCAGGAAGGTGCGCCGGATGAAGAGATAGAAAGACTTTCGAAATTCAAGTTTCTCACAGTAAAGGATTCGGAGAAAGTGAATGGCCAAGTCCTCGAGACTCAAGGAGGGATAATGACTGAAGTAGGTGTTGATTCTCAAACCGAACGCGTGATATCTAGCGATGATGCTGTAAGTAACCAAAATCAACATCTCCCGTTTTGGATATAAAAGACATGAAATGATTTGAGCAACATCGTGTAAAAACCGTTGCAGGAATGCAGCATTTGTCTGTGTGCTTATGAAGATGGAGTAGAGTTAAGGGAACTTCCTTGCAGACACCATTTCCACAGTTTATGCGTAGACAAATGGCTGAGGATCAACGCGACTTGCCCTCTCTGCAAATTCAATATTCTCAAAAATGGTGAACACAGTGGCAGTGAACAAGTGTGAGAGGAGGAAGAAGATTCGTTTGGTTGCTCTCTCAGTTAATGTATGCTAAGGTGATGAGCTCAATCATCAACATCATCATCAATCATTTACCCCTTAAACCTCGTTTATTCTTTTGACCACTACAGAGGAAAGAACAAGAGAAGAACTCAAGGTTTGTCTTGAAAACGAAGCTGCACTTCTTGTTTTTTGTTTCCTTTTATATATATATTGTAAATGGAGTTAAGTAAATAATAAGTTCGGTTGATAAATGTTCTTCAGCGAGACACAGGTGTGAAGAGAGCCGTGTGGGTTTATCTATATTATCAACGGACAAGTTAGATCCGACTTTGATTTATTTACAGTAGTAACTTTTATTGACCAACAACCACCAAATTATATATTGACGGGTGTGTGAGGTCATTGTAGTGACGAGAGAGAAGTGTGTGGATTTGGGTTAAGGCTTTAAAAACTAAAGCCGGTGCCGAAATTTTTGAAATTAGACCAAAACTGTTACTCGGCCCAACGGCGCCCACAAACTTTTACTAAAACAAGAAAAAAAATCATTTGTTGGTTTCGTCAAAAAAAGAGGAAAAAGCACAGTTGACAAAAAAATCAATAAAATACAAAGGAACGGTCAGATACGAAGTACAAACCAACATCTGTTAGAATAGACGGTCGTGATGAACCTAAATCAACCACATGTGCTTTTATCCTCACCACGGCTCCACGTGCAGAGAATCGAACCCGGCAACTTTATATCCGTGGAAGTCTTATCTGTTCTTATATAATCCAAAGTTTTTTTTTATTTTTATTTTGTGAATGGATTATGCGTGCATAATTTTAAATTCGTAAAATATTTATAAGAAAGGTCATTCATCCATACATCCGATTAATTTAATGGATATATCATATAAACTATGTGCTTGGCCAAAAAAAAACATTCTCAAATGCTTTAAAACTTTTAAATAATGTCACTAGCTGCAAAACATTGTTGGATTAATAATATATTATATAGTTTGTTGGTTATATATATTTATTCAATTTTGAAATTATATCGGCCACCGAATCAGCGCGCAGTCAGGTAACGTTAAACTGTATATATATATTTTAAAACTCTATCGCTTAAGAGTTTTTATTTATTTTCTTAACAAACGCACGACGAACATGAACAGGACAAGTTTTTAGATATCATCATCGAACAAAATTTGACTTTATTATCAACTTTGCAATCATTTTTTTTTTTGCTTCCAAACAATAATAAAATCAGTTGCCTGAGTGTGAAAAGAAAATTAATCACACATCTTTGTTCCTCAATTCCGAATAGGGAAAATCGTTAGAACAGACGAAGAATAATCTGTGACTGCAGCCAAACACCAATTTATGTTGGCCGTTGAATCACACACCAAACCGGAACTCCGGTGACAACCCGGCCACCATATCCATCAATCGCCGTGTGCTTAGTCTCCGGTGAAGAAGAAGAAGAAGAAGACGTGAACGTCGTCGTTTCTGCGGAACTGGGTTTAACCAAGATCGAAACATTCACGATTCCGCACTTATCCCCAAACTCGTCTCTTAATCTATAGCTCAAGAAATTCAAATGACCTTCAGGTGAAAACCTTCCGATGAAATCCGTCGCGGGGATTTTAGCTTCCCCGATTTTCTTCTCACGCCCAGAACCTGTTCGATAAAATACCTCAATGGAGATAAACTGTACACTCCCGTTCATCGGCATCTCCGACTTATGGTTCCACGTTGGGCTGCTTCCTCGCGATTCTTCAAGATCAGTCCTTCGAAATTTCTCACCGATCCTCGCGACGGCGAAAGTCTTTCTTCTCTTCACCAGTCTCCGGTTTACCTTTAGGCCCTCTGCGGATCTTATGTCAATCTCAAGTGTTTTTGTCATTGATATAAACAGATGATTATCAATTCCCCCTAAATATATCATCGAGTTTTTTTATATATTTTTGTGTGTGAGTGTATATATGTATGTATTGGCCTAATGATTAACCACAAGCAACGATGGGTTATATAGGGAACAACATCATTTCCCAGATCTTAAATACAAAGCTCGACGAAGGTGATGTGGAAGTTTGGCAAGAAGACGCCACGATTCTTCTTCTCTATTTCCAGTTATAGGAATAAAAAGATGTCGACAATAAAATAATTATTGGCAAAATGAAAAGATTTTTCAATTTACACCTGTCTCTTTTTTTTTTCTTTACATAAAAAGAAAATCAAATAGATAAAACCGACTTTATTCAAATCCAATCGTATGTTTCGATTTTAAAGCTGAAACATATCTAAATCAATTTTTTTTAAATGATAAGATCATGATTTATTCTGAATATGAAAACCGAAAAATTGAATTGAAATCTATTTTTAAATATGAATAAAAATATGATTATATATAGTGAATTAACGACATAAGATTTTTTTTTTTTGTTTTTGTTTTTTATAAATTAGTTTTGTTCGTTAAATTTCACAGCCGATTCCATCCAGTGGCGTGATAAACGCGGTGGGAACGTTTGCTGTCAAATAACGCGCGTTCAAACAGCTATGAAACAAGTGTAAGAAGGGAAAAGACTCGTATATTTCTTCCTTCCATTCAAATTTAATAATGATTTAGTAAGTGATGTGCTCGTGTTTTCAATGAAAATGCCTTTTTTTTCTCACACTCTAAAAGACTAAAAATCGAGATTGCTAAACTAAAAAACTATTTTCACAATTGTTAACAGAATTGTTGGGAAATTTCACATCCTACCATTGATCTGATCTTATAGTACTTTAATCTCACTAGTCCTGGATGGGTATCTTGTGTATCTTGCTTTCAATTTTTTTGATTCTCACACTATATATAGATTTTATTAGTATTATGGATTTTCCTATATTGATCTGTATTATTGTAAATATTGGCATGCTCTCCGTAACCTTGATATTTTGTTGTTAATACTTAATAGAGTCATATACTTAAGTAATTACTAGTTAATATAGGACTTATATAATTACGATAAGTAACACACCAAAATACTTTTCTTGATGTTGAAGCAAACAACCTGTGGAGATTTCTCTGCGGAAATTCTTTCACAAAACGTTTATTTGAACGGAAACTTACTTAGCTTTTCACCAACTTGATCAAGAATCATTCAACTCATTTGAATATTTTTCCTGACTTTGAGCAAGTTCTTGTTTAAAAGTTAAAAAAATACTTGAAATTGAAATACGTAAGTACAGGTAATTACTTTCGTATTCTTACTTCACGAGTGTACGTGGGACGAAAACTCATGGAAAATCGTATTTGTAGGAGTCGTTGACTCAGCGTGTGGTAAGTCTATATGCTTTATTTGTACGGCTGCACTTGTACAATTCCTTAGTTCTTGGACGTTTCAGATTTTAAAATAGTTTATTGAAAATTTTAATCTTAAACGAGTGAAAAACAAATTATGTGATAATGTTTGCACGTAAGGTACAACTTATACGTATCCACCGCACTGTATTATGTATATACATCCCATTGTAGAAGACAAACTAATTATCTATGACCAATCCTATATTATTAGGACAAAGTTTGGAGTTAATAGTTTGCAGTAGTCTGGTTTTATATATTTAAGTTTCTTTTTAAAATGTCTAAAACTAGTTTCTTTTTTTTTTATGGTTTTTTTTGTCAACCTTATTTTTTTTTGTTCTAACAAATAGTTTCTTTGTAACATATGTTTAGTCTTTTTATGTAATATGATCTAAAGTTACTAACATTAATTGAGAATTCACCAAATGATAGACATTTGAAATGATAATAATACTCGGTTTTTCAACATACCTCATGGTTAATGTAGATTCCGGCTCGTGATTTACAATAAAATGATTAAAAAGTTGAGCGATAATTGCTATATTAATAGATATATATATATATAATTTGTATGTATTATCGGAATATGATTTACTTTTCTTCTTGGTTAAGTGCTAGAAATTTCACTTGGGCATATAATCATTTAAAACTAGCTAGTTTCCGTTGGATTTGTTTGGCTTTTGCTGCTTTTCTGGTCACATTTTGTATCTTTTTACACGAATAGTGTGGAAAAAACACATTAAAGTGCTTTCAAATTTCCAATCTCTGCGTCAAGAATACAAATAATCTTCTCGTTACATGAAAAGCTATAATTTTATGGCCGTTCGATTGGAGGAAGCACAACTTAGCGTCCCACAACACTCGAGAGCCACATAGTTGTCATGCTCAGCTCACATATATGGTTCTATATATATTCAACTTATATATAGCATATAGTATATAGTGTAAGATGATCAGTAGTAACTAAATATCTGAAACCGATTTGTGTTTTTAAATCAAATCGTATGTGTGTGATCTATATATTCGCAAATAGATCCTCAGAAACTAATTTGCATAAATTTGCCATGATATCTTAGAACCTGTTTTGTTGTTATTTACCAAGTTTCTGTTGTGGTGAATGATCATACGGTCAGTATCAAAGTTACGCTGCTTATACTTACTGCTTCTGTTGGATGAATCATGCATGCATGCATCACCTTGTGTGACGTCATTACACGACGTCAACAGATTTGTGGAAAAAAATCCCAATCTTAATAGATTAATTATTCATCATAGCTAGTGCAGTGTAACAACTTAAATACTTGCTTCTTCTTTTTTGCGAAAGTTATTTTCTAAATATATCCCCGGCAAAACCATGATGTCTAATAATTATAAATTTATAAACATATTTAGATTTTTAAATTTATCTAATTTTGCAACGTGTTTAAGTAACTTCATTGCTGTATAGTTTACTAAGCATGCTACCTGATTAATTAAATGAATTGTGTATAATTTTTTTTGTCTACAGTGCGTACTCCGTGGACTTGACTCCATAAACTAAAGTCACCCGATCAAAGCCACTTCTGAAAGTGTATCTGACAACGCATTTTATACTGTTTTTAAGAACACGACAGATGGAAATTGTAAGATTATGCATGTGGGTTCCGAATTTGATTCGAAATCTTTTTTTTATTATTTT